CCATCTGCACAAGAGAACATTGCCCTTCTCATCCGCAAATTAACATCTGCCCCTCCTCTATCTTCACCCAAGTGGACTGTGCTGATATAGTACATGCCTCTGCCCCTAAGCCCACAGGACTGTCTGTCCTTAGCCCTTGTTGTCTGTATTTAAGATTACTCCTGCTGTGTTAAGTGCTGGAGGGAAGCCTGGACACCCCTGGTGGGTGAGCCTCTGGCATTGGTCTGCCTCCTTCCTTCCTTGTCCCAATAAAATGTGGGAGTTGAACAGATGTGTTCCTGTGGGTTTCAGAGTATAGATACAGCTGTGAGAGAGGTTATACCTTTTATTGGACCAAGACAGATAGATACTTCTTCCCTGGCATATCAGGATTTTATTTTTTATTTTTTGGGCTAGGGAGGCAGGACCTTACCACATAGGCCTGGCTGGCCTCAAGCTCAGAGATATCTGCCTGTCTCTGCCTCTTGAGTGCTGGGACTAAGGGCGTGTGCATCTGGCTCAGATGCAGTGTTCTGTTTTTTGTTTTTTTTTTTTTTTTAAATACATTTAACATGTGTAATGAAGGGAGTACTCCTGCCATGGCACATATGCAGGGTAAAGGATCACTTTGTGGGAGTGTTTTATTTCTCTGTTACAGTGGTTCTCAACCTTCATTAATGCTTTGACCTTTAATAGTTTCTCAAAAAAAAAAAAAAAAAAAAAAAAAAAAAAAGAAAGAAAGAAAGAAAGAAAAATGCATGGTGGTGGCACACTCCTTCAATTCCATCACTCAGGAGGCAGAGGCAGAGGATCTCTTGAGTTTGAGGCTAGTCTGGTCTACAGATCAAGTTCCAGGACAGGTTCCAAAGCAATACAGAGAAACCAGGAAATAAAAAACAAAAAACATTTCCTCACGGTGTGGTAATCCCAACCATAAAATTATTGCTTTTTTGCTACTTGACTATAATTTTGTTATGAACCATAATGTAAATGCCTCTGCCTCCCTCCTGAGTGCTAAAGGAATGCTCTGCCATTGCTTGACTCCTCCTCCCCCTTTGAAGTGAGAATTGAAGGTAGATCTCATGTGGGCTACACAAGTGCTCTTCACTGAGCTACATTCCTAGGCCTAAATTCTATTTTTGCTCCCGCCTCCTCCTCCTGTTTAAGCTTCCTAAGGACCAGTTATATAGGTGTCTGCCACACAGCTCTTTACATATAGTTCATGTATGTTTGGACATGTGTGAGTGCATGTGCCTTATGGTGCCTGTGAAGGCCAGAGATGGGCATCAGCTGTCTTCCTTGGCTGCCTTCCACTTTATTTATGGAGGCAGAGTGTTTTGCTGAGGCTACCTGGACAGTTTGCTCTGAGAATACTGTTTCTACCTCTCAGTTTTGGGATGTCTTCCTATTATGTGGATGTTATGGATACAAGCCAAGCTATCTACACTGAGTTATCGCTTTCAGGTGCTTATTCTATCCTTAAAAGAGCCAGAGCTGGAGTTTTTGAAGCTCTTTTCATTGTAAATTACTCTCTGTTTGTTCACCCTCAGAAGGACTAGAGTTATAAGTGGATCACCATGCCTATTAACATACACATACACACAAACACCCCCCACACACACCAGTAAGTTTATATGTTTAAAGTTTTGTGATGGTGAATACAGAAGACTGCTATTACTGTGAGACTGGGATCAGAAGTCTCAAAGACATGGTCTTTGAGCATGGTCCAGAAACCCTGGCAACAGCTTTCATTTCCCACAATGCAGACTTGTTTGCCTCTGTCTGACCTGTTCTCTCAGACATGGCTTCAGAGCATGTTAGAGTATTAAGAGACATCTAGTTTGCTACATTTGTAGTCTCAGCCTAATGGTTCAGCTTTGTGTAGGGGTGAGCAGAACAGTGGGGTCTCCTTGCAGAACTTGAAATAGACCAACAATGTGAAATTTAGTTTTTAAAAAGTAACTTACTACTTTTACTTGTGTTGTTGTTTTGCTTGAATGTATATCTGTGTGAGGCTGTCAGGTCTTGGAGTTATAGACAGTTGTTAGTGCCACATGGGTGCAGGGAATTGAACCCACAGAGAGCCATCTCTCAGGCCCCATACAATTTAGTTTTATAACATTGCTACATCTAGAGCAGGAGTTTAGTAAATACCAAAGGTTAAAAAAAAAAAAAAAAAAAAAAAAGCTGGTGCACACTTTTAATTCCAGCACTAGGGAGGCAAAGGCAGGCAGATTTCTTGAGTTCAAGTTCAGCCTGGGTCTACAGAGCAGAATTCCAGGACAGCTAGGGCTACACAGAGAAACCCTATCTTGAAAAGCTAAAACCAAAAGGAAAACAGTTAAGAGCACTGGTTGCTCTTTGCAGATTATTTAGTTCTTGTACCCACACAGCACACAACCATCTGGGGGATGCAGAGCTCTCCTGGCCTCCACCAGTATCAGGCACACATGTGGTGCCCAGACCAAATGTAACATGCAGGCCAAACACTCAAACACTACAATAAAAGATAAATAGAAACATTTAAAGCATTATTTTGCAGCCTTGAAGAGACTAGTGTAATAGTAGCAGTTTCAACTGTAGAAGGCACTTAAAATTATGGTTAACTGCCTTGGAGTTTCTTTTCTTCCCTTCTAAGACAGGGCCTCCAGGTTGGGGATTTTAGCTCAGTGGTAGAACATTTGCCTACCTAGTTCAAGGCCCTGAGTTCAGTCCTCAGCTTAGAGGTGCAGGGGTAGAAAATAAAAAGACAGGGTCTCATTGTGTGGCCTCTGCTGGTCTGGAAACTACAGATTGGCCTGCTTCAGCCTCCCAGCAGGGCTGAAAATGAAAGGTGTGTGCCCCCCATGGCCAGCTGCCTTGATATTTCTGAGCAATTGCATTGTATCTGAGTTTCACTGCAACAGAATAAGTCTGTAACAAAATTAAGTTGGGAGGGATTTTGTCTAATTAAGTAGGGGTTTGTGGGAAGCCACAGTCCCAAGGTGGTGCCTAGCCGGATGCCAGGTAGTCCGAGCTCTTAGCTGTAAACAAGCCTTATTTGGAAGTGCTTGATGGATCTGGTGTGCTTCCTCCTTCTGTGGCCTATCCAGGATCGCCAGGTGGCATGAGCTGATTGGGCAGTGAGCCCATATTTAAGGGCTTTCTGGGGCTGGGAGGAGCAGAAGATTGTTCAAGGTTCCTGAATAAACTGCTTAAAACGTCCAAACGTTGTGTCTTCCTTGCTGGTCGAAGTGGTCACCACAGAGGTACTTTGGCTTTTTCTTTTTAGGTGTACACATATGGTGTGTGCATTTAGAGGCCAGAAGTCCTACCTGATTGCTTGAGACCAGAGCTCAAGGATTCAGCCTGTCTCGTCAGCCAGCCTGCTTCAGTGCACCTTTGTCCTGGCCCTTAAACAATGGATTACGTACAGGTGGGCGCAATGCCTGCTGGGTGCTGGGAATGAAGTTCTGCCATGATGCTTCACAGCAAGTACTTAGTTATTCAGACATTGCTAGCCTCACTTTGGCTTTTTTATTTACTCTTTATCCGTAACATTTCAATTTTAGTCTTTAATTAAGCATGTAAAACCAAACTACTTAATTATTTTTCTCCATGAACTTTTTGTGAAATTCAGATTGCAGTGTACCTTTTACATGTCTTCTCATCACCTACACCTTTTGCGCAGCTTTTAATACAGAACCACAACACCATTCCACTTTGTTTTAACCTTCAAATTGGCCTTGAAGAGGTTGGGGTGGGTCAGAGAGGTTAAGGAGAGGGTTTCCAACTCAGAATGTTTCCCTGTGAATTCTCTTCTGCTTCTTACTCTTGTCTCTTCTTGTGCTCACTCCAGCTATTTCTACAAATGTATTATTTGAGCACAGTGACTGGGATCCCACCTCCAATACTAGTGATATCTATGACAGGTTATTTAACCAACCCACACCTCAGTTTCTGCTTCTTTAAATGGAAATAACATAATGGCCAATATGACTGACCTTGGACAAGTTATCTCTGCTGGTACTTCGGTCTGCTATCTACAAACTCTACTAAAAAGCACTGCTATGAGCCAGGTGTTGGTGGCGCATGCCTTTAGTCCCAGCACTCGGGAGACAGAAGCAGGTAGATCTCTGTGAGTTCAAGGCCAGCCTGGTCTACAGAGCTAGTTCCAGGACAGGCTCCAAAACAATAGAGGAACCCTGTCTAAAAAAAAAAAAAAAAAAAAAAAAAAACAAAAACAAAAATCCAAAAACACTGCTATGGAGATTAATACATGGAAGCTATTTATGGTGGACGCTGACCTTATGGTCAGTCACATGTAGTGGCACATGGATATACTCCTTGAACTTTGGAGGCCAGACCTTGTCTTTATTTTTTTAGATGGGGTTTGTCTGTGTAACAGCTCTGGCTGTTCAAGAACTCACTCTGTAGACCAGGCTGCTGGCCTCAAACTCACAGAGATCCTCCTGCCTCTGCCTCCCAAGTGCTGGGATTAAAGCTTTGTGTGCACCACCAACACACAGCCCAGTTAGGAAGTAGCTCAGTGTTTGCCTGCTATGCGCAGAACCTGGGTTGGGCTCTCAGTGTACCTAAATTTAAAAAAAGTGGGGATCGGGCATGCTGACATAGATCTTCAATCTCAACACTCCTTTGAGTTCTTGGCCAACTTGGTGTACATTTTGAGAGTTCTAGGCCAGCCAGAGCTAAATAGTGAGACACTGTTTCAAAATAAAAGAGTGACTGTAGGTTGAAGCAAGCTTCTGAGGCTACTCATGTATCCCAAAGGATAGCTATGCAGAATAGCACAGTGTGTTTGACAAACAGCTGGTGTCTGGTATGACAACTGCTGGCTGCTTACTGGTTAGGCTGAGTCCAGTAAGACAGACCCTAGAATTGAAGTAATGTCTCATGTGGGGCCCAGAATACTGATGACAGAGTTTCAAAGACATTGTCTTAGAAACAGGACTGAGATCATGTTGGGAAATACTGAAAGGCAGCAAGAGGCACAAAAAAATAGCAAGGTAACCACTCCATAGTTAGGAAAAGTCGTTTCCATTTAATGCTAGACTTTCAAGGATTGAGATGCAAGCCTTTATGCAATTACATCCAATGTTAAAATTGGTAATACATAATTTACAAAGATTAACATCAAAACAATCATCTATTTAGATATGCTTTTCTGTAAAAAGGAAATATATTAGCAGCATTTATATTTTCCGCAATCACACAGCCTACAGACATGCAGACTAACTCTGTATCTATTTGCAGTGATGTAGTGCTTTGCCCCGCATTTCAAACACCAAACCCACCTGGCAGCTGGGGGGGGTTGTTTTTATTTTGTTATTATAAAATAACTGAAAAATAAAAAAGGCATTAATTTCTACACCAGTAAGAAAAACAAGTTTTTGCACTTACCTAACATTTGATTGTCTAAAAACATTTCGGTTTTTAATCTTTCAACAAAAGAAAGATAAAATGACAGCGTAGTGTCTTTTGCTTCTGTTCTTACATTTTACAAAGTTTTTTCTTTTTTAAAATTTTAGTGTTTAACACTATTAAAGGAAAACAATGAATTTAAGCTCTTTCTTGTCATTTTCTTGCTTTTGACTAAAAGGAGACCCTCAAAGTGCCCTTAGTCCTACCTCCCTCCCACCCGCTCCCTGCAACGAGAAACAAAAGAAACCACTCAGATGGGCTTGGACATGCGATCCCCAGCTCCACACATGAGTATCTTATACCCAGGTCTCGTGGTAATGTACAATGCTTCTCTACAGTAAGAAAATACTCCAAACTATTTTCTTAATTTCTCTTATTTCTTTAATAAAATATTTTGCTTTTTCTCTGCTCAAGGGGATTTATGGCATCCCCCTCCTCTCTTTTTTTTCCCTTAAGAATAACACAGAAAGGAGAAAAAGAAAATCAATGGAATGAAAGAATGTTTCTACCTAAATGAGTCAGAGCGTCGTCATCATAAGGGGAAGGAAATGTACAGTTAGGACATCATTGGTCCAGCATCAGAAAAGAGTAATGAGGATGTGTTTACTAATGTATTGCTTACCAATCTCACAGTACACACACACACACACACACACACACACACACACACACACACACAAACTTGGCACATTTAAAAACCATGTTTTCTCTTATAAGAACATCTAAAATGTATATGCATATGTATGTCTAAGAAGACAAAGCAAAGCTTTTTGAATTTTACTTGTGAAGAAGACAGTATGGTTTATGAACTTCTGGTCAAGAGACTGGGAGGGAAGGAGACCCTGGATATACCTCCTGATGATGTCATTCAAAAAGGTGGAAGGAGATGGAACCCGTGGTGAGGAGACAGACACTGGAAACTATACAATAAGAAAATAAGAGTAGTGTTTTCATCAATTGGTAATCTAGAACCAACACTCTGACAGTGAACACTGCTCAACAGTTTTGTAGTGAGTTTCATTAGAGGAGAAGTTTTAGAGTTTTTATGTAGTTTTACATGTTCTTTGTTTGTTTTGTTTTTTGAAGTAAATCTTTTTGCACAGCAGACACACAGGAAGAGAAGCAGCATGTGTGCTGGCGGGGGCTTGGCTTTCTCAGAAAAAAATACTTTGGGCAGGTTATGAGGGGTAAAACAAAAATAATTACAAACCCTGCCCTTCTGACCCCATGGGGCCTCTGCTACCCCAGGGTTCTATTGACTCTATTTTGGGGAGTAGAGGTATGGAGAGTGGCAGCAGTTAGTTCTAAGTGCTTCGAGCAATCAATTCATGTTCTACTACTTTGACCTGGCTGGGTAAGAAGGAAGAGAGAACTTTCCTGATCAAGGAACATAGGAGAGGCCCACTACAGTATCTGTTTCAGGTCTCTGATACAGCTCTTAGAGCTAAGAGAATAAATGGGGTAGGGCTGGGATCCAGGCCCTCCCTTTTGAGTCTGAATTTATACCTGGTCAGAGGAAGCAGCATTCTTAGTGCCTGCAGGGTCAGAGGGCAGCCTGGAAAAACCCAAACCGAGGAGTATCAAGTGCTGTAAAGTCCCATCAGCTTCTGGCTACTCCCAGTGTGGGACTCCTCTCTACAGTAACCGTGAGGTAAAGCCATCAAGAGGAGAAGTAAACTCAATTGCCTCAGACAAGCCTACTTCCTCTCCCTCTCCACTAGCTCGAAGGTTTGTAAGTACCTAATGTCAAAGACATGATTGCTCTCCCCTTGCCTGGACGGAATTTTGCCGCCCCTGTTCACACTTAGAGAGCAAGAGACGGGACTTGTTGGCTTCATTGGATCCCAGATGCTCCAAGTTCTCATTCCTTTGAGAGTCATTTCCGAAAGCTGTTTTCTGGTATAAACAAAGTGCGCCTTCGCAGTTTCCTGCCGGACCCTTCCTCCAGAAGGTAGGTCACATCGATGGCTGAAAACAGAATCAAGATGGTTCATCAAATGCCACTCTTCCACACCTCCATCTGGATTTGCATGCTACAGAGAACTCAAGGGTGCAATTATTTTTCTTTTTCTGGCCTAAAGCAATTAGGTCTTTCTCCAGGTCTACATTTTTTGTTTTGATGCTGCTATAACCTCCCACCCCCACCAAAAAGAAAGATACCACCTCAGCTCAGCCCCATGCTGAAGACACAACCAAGGCATGTTTAAGAACAAAGTCATTTTTTAAGAACATGTTCCATGCTGGTGTAATAATCTCAAGTTGTTCTGGATCCAGACACAACAAAACTTAGTGGTAGAATGAGTTGCCTAGCATATGTGAGGTACTGGAGGTTTATTTTCCAATACAACACACATACACCTGCAAACATACACACTCACATAGTTTCCTTACTACTTTTCCATTTACTTCTCACTCATCTTCAATCCTAATTATAAGCCGGAGCCTTACCAATTTTTTTTTTTTTTTTAATGATTTACTTCTAGTTTACCTGCATTTGTGTTTCACATGCATGCATGTATGTGTGAGTGTGTCGGATACCCTGGAACTGGAGTTAGACAGTGGTGAGTTCTCCAGCCCCAAGTCTTACCATTTTTCCCAGGGATTTTCTCAAGGAGATTGAGCAAGATCTGGTTGAGCCGTTCCCGCTGGCTGTGCTTCCGCTCCTCAGGTGTGCTGGCTAACTGGGGCTCTGGAGTACTTTCCTCTGGTTTCTTTCCACTGTCACTGGTGTCGGCAGTGACTCTTTCCTGTTCCGGCTCCTCAGGGCTGGGCACCCCACTGGCTGCTTGCTCCTGACTGGCCAGTACCTCTTCAATCAAGGGCAAAGCATCATCCTCTTGCCCTAGGTCTTTCAGGGGTGGCTTTGAGCGTTCAGACTTCCAGGATGATCTGCCAAAAAGATATGTGAATTCAGGACAAGGCTGAACAAGATACTTAGACAGGGGCAGGAAATGAAAGCTAGAGGCCTAAGGATGGCTTGAGATCCTGGAGTCTGCTTATGATGGAGTTAAGAAATCCAAGCGTCAGCATTAGTTCAAACCATCACTTTTTTCTGAAATTTAATTTTCCCTTTATGGCAGTACTTGTGTAAACTAGGTTAGTGTTCTACTACTTAGAAATGAACCTAATATCCATTTGCAAAATTAAATCTTTCTTCTTGTTCTCAGAAATCCTAAGCAAAATGAGATACAATCCCATAAAACATACCAGTCCTGGGCAAGCTGCTGAGGTGTTGGCTGATTACCTCATGCAAAGCAAGAACAGCCTGTGATACCCACGTCCAACCATAATAGGATTTAAGTGGATTTTCACTTTTCTATGTTACCTAGTATTTCTTCACTTTTTACAGGCTACCATTATGGAGAATGTAGTGGGTATTTAACACCTTTTAAATTATATGTGTGTGCATGAGTATGTGTATGTACATGAGTATAGGTGCCCATGGAGGCCAGGAGAAGGTGCTGGATCCTTTGGAGCAGGATTTACAGGTGGTCATGAACAATCTGACATGGGTACAGGGAACAGAACTCATGTCCTCGACAAGAACAGCATGGGCTCTTAACCACTGAGTCATTTCTACAGCCCCAGTAGTGGCTATTTATGCTTTTTCCTGACAGACAATAGAAAAGCTTTCATGATGAACATCCTTCTCATTTACAAAACAAGTAAAAATATAAACTGTTACGTTTAAACTGCTAAGTGCAAACTGTGCAATACTGACTCTAGCTCTCTAACAGAGGCATCAAAAGGTGACAGACCATCGTGGTATAGAGAGAACGAGGGATCATGAGTCCATCTGCAGTTCCAGTTCTAATCTTTCTTTTTCTCTTGATATTATCCTGTTCTGGCTAAGGATGTGTAATGGGACTGCACATCTCCCATTTTAGTGATGGTGTTACTCAGGGCTACCCTAAGAGAATAGCCAATCCCAGTAGTGGAGACCAATGAGGAGCTATTTGCTTTCTTGCTCTACATTAGCTCTTGGCTAACCCCTTATGAAACCTCACATTCTTCTAGGACTCACCGCCCTCCGTTCCTCTTGTAGTTGTCAGGGACATAATGAGGCTGCAGAAAAAAAAAAGGGGGGAGCACATTAATGCTGGATCTGATCTGGGGACACTAAGGTAAGGAAGGCAATTTGGATGACATATTTATTTTTATCTTTTTCTTTATGGTTAGGTTATTAGGATGCTGACATTTCCCTCTCTCTCTTTTTAACTGCCACGAGGCAAATGGCTTTCTCTGCCACATGCTCCTGCTATCATATACTGTGCTGTTAGAGGAGCACAGCAGTTACTCTGAGGAACCATGGGATAAAACCTCTGTAAACCAGAATAAAGCTTCCCTTCTTTTAAGCAGATCACCCCAGGACACCTGCAATAATAACAGAAAGCTGACTACCACTCTCACTTGTAAAGAAGGCACAGGATGAGGAGCCTGTCAGCCGGGATTTCATCATAACAAAGAGATGATAATGGCCAAAATCCTATGTAGTAATGAATGAAAATCATTGGTCTGTGTTTTCAACAACTAGAAAGAATACCCAGGAAGGAAATGAGAGTGAGAATGCGAACATGAGCAAGTATCCCATCATCAAGCTATTTTTCAGATTACATTTCTTGTCTTCTATTTAAAATTATTTATTTATTTAGTGTGTTATGTTTGGATGTTGAGCACCACAGCTCATGTGCGAAGGGTTTTCTCCTACTATGTGGGTTATGGGATCAAACTCAGGTATTCAAGGTCTGAGGCAAGTGCCCTTATCCACTCCCATGTCTTATGCTCCACCCTTTTTTTTTTTAATACAATGTCTCACTATGTAGCCCTGGCTACCCTGGAACTTGCTACATAGGCCAGGTTGGCCTCAAATTACAGTGCTCAACCTGCCTCTGCATCTGAAGGGCTGCCACTAATGGCCTGTGTTTTCACACTCAGATATACCTTACATTTTTGAGTCAAACTAAAAGGGAATAAGCATCAAAGGATATTTTAATTGCTAGGATTGTTTGGAGCTTAACATAAGCCTAGGCTACATAGTGGCTTTGAGACAAACCTGGATTACAGTAAGACCCTGTAAGATAAAAATAAGATTATTTTTTCAGGGATACTATCATTTTTTTTGTATGTATGTATGTATGCATGCATGCAGACAGGGTCTAGCTGGTCTAGAACTTGCTATGTAGATCAGTTTGGCCTTGAACTCACAGAAATCCACCTGCCTCTGCAGTCCCAAGTGCACCACCACACCTGACTTTTACAAATTATGAATATGAATAAAGGAAGGTGTAGAGGGATGGGAAGAATACTCAGCAGGTAGGAGCACTCACCATACAAGCATGAGGAGCTGAGTTCAAATCCTCAGTACTCACATAAAGAAGCAGGTTGTGGTCCAGTGCTGGGTGTTGGGGCAAAGACAGTAGGATTACTGGAGTTTGCTGGTTATTAGTTCCAGGTACAGTGAGAACCTGTTTCAAGGGATTAATGTGGAGAGCAATAGAACAGGGAAGCCAGTCTCCTCTGGCCTTCTCACCTGTACTTGCACATGTGTACGCTCACTGCACATATTATTAAAAAAAAAAGGGGGAAGAATAGTGAGACCTCACAGTGTCACACACATGTAATCCCAGCACTCAGGAGAGGCAAGGGAATTAAAATTTCAAGGTCAGTTGAGCTAAGTGGTGAGATCATGCCTCAAAACAAAATCAATAAAGGTGACTTACTGAGAAATCTCTTTTGGGAGTGAGCTTCTTGGGGAAATGATCAAAGGCATAGGGTTTGGTGCAGACAGGATATCGATTCCGATGGATCTTGTAAAATAGGTGTGCTGACTTGTCAAGCCGATAATCACAGATGTATACATCTTGTTCCTTTACTCCTTTGGGTCTTCCTGTAAATTCAAACACAGTTACAGAATCTGACTTCTTAGGCCAGAGAGATGGCTCAGCTGCTAAGAGTATATGCTGCTTTTACAAAGAACCAGAGTTTGGTTCCCAGTACCCAGGTGAGATGGCTCATGATTGTCTGTAACTGCAGCTCCAGGGGATTTTACACCCTCCCTTTGGCCTCTGAAGGCACCAGTACTCAGATAAAGATACCTACACATCGACACATTATTAAAAATAAAATAGATCTAAAGAGTGGTGGTGCACACCTTTAATTTCAGCGAGGCAGGGGGATCTCTAAGTTCAAGTCCACAGAAGTCTGGTCTACAAAGAGAAACCCAGTCTCAAAAACAACAAAAAGAAAGATCTGAAACAAACATCAGTAAATCTGATTTTCCTTTGTCCCCAAAAGCAGCCCAGTGGACAACTATCTCTGAGAGAGAAGACAACCCATAAAGAGGAGATACTATCGTCATTACAAAAGGTTGGAAAATCAAGCATTTGGTGGTTGTAGAAATAGAGTTTTTAAGCACTCACATCCAAAAGAAGATGGAACATAACAGTGGAATGGAATAACAGAATGTAAAAAACCCAAAATGTTGAGTGAATGTTGCAGGGATTTTTGAACAAATACTCTGAGGAAAGGAATGGTTTATGGGGAAGTTATGAGAAAGGAAGAGTCACAAATATGAGGAAACACACCGGAAAGATAACCCTTTTTAATTGGAAATGTTAGGGTCACAGAGCTATAAGCAGTTTGTCAGTATGGAATAGAATACTTACTATTGTCAAGATTTTGCTAGTATAATGAAATAAAAATATAGGTAACTAAATTCTTACCAATCACGACAACAAATACACATCAAGCTAGCCATAAACTAGAGCTTTGTATATTATTTCGTCTTTGTAAAACTCAAAAAAATCTGGTTTCCAATTAAGGAAACTTAGGCTTGGTTAAGTATATAAGTAATAAAATGTGATGCACCTGGATTCTGGAATTGGCTCAACATTTTAAAATGTTGGAGCAGGGTGGTGGTAGTGGGCACACACCTTTAATCCCAGCCCTCAGAAGGCAGAGCCAGGTGGATTTTTGAGTTTGAGGCCAGCCTGGTCTACATAATGAGTCTCACGACAGCCAGGGATATAGAGAAGCCCTGTCTGAAAAGACATAAAAAAAAAAAAAAAAAAAAAAAAAAAGTTGGGATCAAGAGCTTGCCAACAAGCCTGATGACCTGAGTTCAATCTTCCAAACTCACTTGAAAAAAAAAAAAAAAAAAAAAAAAAAGAAGAAGAAGAAGAAAAAGGTTGCTGGGTGTTGGTGGCACACACCTTCAGTCCCAGTCCTTGGGAGGCAGAGGCAGGCGGATCTCTCTGAGTTCAAGGCCAGCCTGGGCTACAGAGCTAGTTCCAGGACAGGCTCCAAAGCAATACAGAGAAACCCTGTCTCAAAAAACAAAACAAAACAAAACAAAACAAAAAACAAAAAACAAAAAAAAAAAAACCAAACAAACAAACAAAAAAAAAAAAAGGTGATTTTAAGTAAAAGGAAAGGGACTGACTATCTGAAGGAAGCTCACACCAGCTCTTTCTGGGTATCTCTCTCCCTTAATTCTTGTGTTTATTCATTAGAATACCTTCATTAGCAGGGTATGGTGGTACACATACACTTGTAATCTCAGGCAGCTGGATCTGACTTTGGAATTGAAGCCAGCCTAGTACACACATAATGGATTCCAGGCCAGGGTAGCATAGTAAGATCCTGTTGCAGAGTGAATGAATAAATAAATACGTAAATGTATTTTGTCTGCATATATGTACATGTACCATGTGTATGGCTGGTGCCCATAGAAGCCAGAAGAAAGTGCTGGGTCCCCTAGAACTGGAGTTAGAGATGGTTCTGAGCTGCTATGTGGGTGCTGGGGACTGAACTCGGGTTCTCTGTAAGAACAGCCAGTGCTCTTAACCGCTGAGCTCTCTCTCTCTAGTCCCAAAGACCACCTCTCAACAAGCCTTCATCATTTACCTTTACAATATGTATAAAGGTCCAACACACAGCAGGTCCCAACTACAGCCTCCAAGGGAATGATCTCATAGAGTGGCACCCGAAATAGCTCATTGTGATAGAACCGACGGGATGGAGAGTGGTGGGTTTCATGGGGGCGGAAATAATGGTGACCAAAGGCAAACCGTTCCTCTCTTTAAAAAAAAAAAAAAAAAAATAAAAAAAAAAAAAAAAAAAAAAAAAAAAAGAATGAGAAAGGAGAGGTTAAGTCTACTAGTAAGACTCCAGTGCACACTCCACGCTGCGGGGAGGATACAGCTGGAAGAAGAGAGGACCCAGCACATACTTTTCATTCTTCCAAAGCTTTTCGATTCTAAAGATGTCAAGTTTATCTCGGTTAATGTGTGATAACAGTCTGTAGGACTGTCGGACTGGATGGCCATCAGGTGTGCGCCGACTGTCCCTCATCAGGTACACACAATCACCTAGGTACAGAACAAAGGAGAACATTAGCATTGACCCTCATTGTATTCCTTCAGGCATCATTTTATCTGATCCAGGGTCTAAAAAATAGGTGGGGGCAGGCAGATAGCCGAGAAAGTAAATGAGCCAGGACCTAGGTTCAATCCAAAGTACGACAAAAGAGATTAAGAGAAAATAAAAGTAGCATTCTTATGACAATTACTATCAATTCTAATGACAGAAGGCTCTTACTTTTTGTATTTTCTCTTTATTAGGTTTATCAGGTTTATTTTGTTTTGTTTTGAAGACAGGTCTTACTACATAGTGTTGCCTGGCCTAGAATTCACTAAGTAGACCAGGCTGACCTCAAATAAAGAGATCTATCCCTCTGTTTCCAGATGGGATTAAAGACAGCACCATCACACCTGATCTAGGTTTAAAATTACTATAAGGACCTTGGATACAGCTTGGTTGTAGGTTGCTCGACTGCCATGTTTGAAGCTTTGGCTCAAATACCAGCATAGCAAACAAACAAGCAAATAGTCAAAATGTAAGTGTAAGTCAGGCTATTGTAGAAAATTCTTCTTCTTATTATTATTAGTTTGGTTTTTTGAGACAAGGTTTCTCTGTATTAACAGCCGTAATTGTCCCTAAAACTAGCTCCGTAGTACAGGCTGGCCTTGACTCATACAAATCCACCTGCCTCCGTCTGGGATTAAAGTCGTACGCCACCACTGCCCAGCTACAATATTATTTTAAGGTATGTTACATTTGTTTATGCTCTGGAACATTTGTTTAACGGTGTAAAGATGCACTTTTGTTTATGCTGCATTTGTTTAACTCTGTGTAGCTGTGATTCTCTGCCTGTCTAAAACACTTGATGGTCTAGTAAAGAGCTCAAAAGAGGCAGGAGAAAGGATAGGCAGTGCTGGCAGACAGGGAGTATAAATACAAGAAACAAGGAAGGAGCAAGATAGGACAAGGAGAGGAAGACAACAGAGGCCAGTCACCCAGCCAGTCAAGGAGTAAGAGTGAAAGCAAGATAAACAGGAGTAAGAGAAAGGAAAAAGGCCAGAGGTGAAGGGTAGATGGGTTAATTTTAGTTAAGAAAAGCTGGCTAGAAACAAGCCAAGCCAAGGCTAGGTGGTTAAAAGGAATAGTTATGTCTCCATGTGTGTGATCTATTAGGAAGCTGGGTGGCACCCCCCACCCCCTGCAAAGACCAAAGAGCTAAGACCAAAAAAGTAAAAAAACACCAGGCAGGGTAAGCGAATGCCTATTATCCCAGACCTGGGAGGCAGAGGCAGGGGCATAGCTGAGAGTTTGAAGCCCGGCCTGAGCTGTAGTCTGAAACAAACAAACAAACAAACAACAACAACACAATAAAGCAACCAAACAAAAGCAACTAAACCAAGAGGAGGGAATGATAATGCCTCACTATCCCTGAAGAGCTATAGACAGTTAATGGTTGGCTAGGGAAGTGGGGTGGCGAGTCATAGTCCTCAGGGATATAGCCTATGGTAAGCTTCCCTTGCTGAAGTAAATGATATACCCTTCTACCCATGCTCATGCAGACAGTCCTAATAAAATGCAGTGGAACACACAGTAGGGACTTATGAGAAGGGGTTTGGTGGGAGAGGGAAGGAGGTTAAGAAAGGATAATGGTAAAGGGGGAAAAAAATCCCCTTCAAATAAAAAGAAAAAGCTGTTTGTACAAATTGGTATATGTTAAAAGTGGAGTAATGTTGAGTTTAAGGGTATCTATTCAAGGCCATGCAGGCTGATAATCACCACACACAAAGCATAGACTTCCCACTAGTCAAGGTCAGTGGGATTTGGGCCTTAGTACTTACCCTGACGAAGCAGCAAATCATCTCGGAGTAAACAGATGAAGTAGACACAGCCAGGTTGGGCATAGTGGGGCCGAGGGATCATGGGTACCTCCTGAATTGCAGAGAATCAATGGAGAAAGGCTAGAATTATTACATTTGCTAATGATCTCAATTAAGAGAGGAAAAGAACTAAAACTTAACATTTCCGTTTAAGCCAGGTGGATATGGTGCACCTGTTTAGTCCCAGGACTCCAGAGGCCGAGGTAGGTGGATCTCTGTGTTCAAGGCCAGCCTGCTCTACAGAACTAGTTCCAGGACAGCCAGGGCTACACAGGGAAACCCTGTCTCAAAAAACAAAAAGAAAAAGAAATGCTGCCTAAATCCTCCTTTTTATGGAGATGACTTAAGATCATAATACACATTTATTGATTTACTGTGTGTGAATATATGTATGTGTATGTGCTTGCCCTAGCACATGTGTGGAGGTCAGAGGACCATTTGCAGGAATCAGCTCTCTTTTCAACCATGTGGATTCCTGGGATGAAACTCAGCTTTCGAAGTTTAGCAGCAGGAGCTTTTATCCATTGAGATGACCTGACAGCCCAAGACCACACATACAAATAGAGTAGTACCAAGATAAGAACCCATCCAACCCAGTCAAGTCATTGACTCTTACTTCAGTAAATAACTCTGAGTCAGAGGCCGCTTTCAACAAAACACTACCTGATACAAATGGCACTTAGAATTCTGTCTCTACTACTGAGAGACTAAGGCGAGATAAGGGTGAATTTGGAACTAGCTTGGGCTATACAGTGAGCTCCTAACTCAGAAACAAATCTTAGTTTTTTATATAGTACCATTTCTCTTCTCTCCTCTTTTTTTCCCTTGAAGACTGGCCTCAAAATCAGAGATCCACCTCCGTATGCCTTCCCATTGCTGGGATAAAGATGGGTACACCACCAATGCTCAGCTTTATATATAGTATCATTTCTTTCATAGATCCTATGTATTTTATTTTCCTTTGGTCACACTCCTGAGAAAAGGACGGGCAAGAATTGCCACCCTCAGCGTAAAGACGAGGCATGGAGAGGCTGAGCAATTCTGAATAGGAGGATCACACACTACTTCTAACTGTGGATCAGCTTACCCTGTCCACAGGTCGAGGGTCACACTGCTCACACAGGTAGTGCTCCACGTCTGTGTTCACACCCATACAGTCACAGTGCTGCCATACCTGTGAACATAGGCACACTTGATAAGGGGATTTAGTGAGAGAATCCCTGAGAAATAATGATAGTGATAAAAAAAAAAAAAAAAAAAAAAAAAAAAAAGCAACAGGACAGAGCAAAGTAAAAGAGAAATAAAGCCCTAAGTGGATGAGTGAGAAGTAGAAATAACTGATAAAGTTAAGAGGTAAAACAATGTTTGAATAAAAGTATATACATCAATTCTAATATATAGATCTGGACAAATAAAATGGAAGATGAAGAGAGAAAATAAAGATAATTGTACTACTCAACTATCACTTGGTATGTAACGGTACTAATGCTGCAGTTACTATGAAAGGCTTTATTCTCATAAAGAATGGCACTAAAGACGCTTACTTGACTTTATGCTCCCAATAATCTTATGTATTATTCATAGCCCAATGAGCAAATAAACTAACAAGTATACAAGTATGCAGAACACTACAAATTGAGTCCAGGACATGGCTCTTCTAGTAGGAGCCATCTATGGATGAAACTTAGATACAATAGAATCTACCTGTATTCATGTTCTATATTGTATGCGATTCATATTTTTCAAGATAAAGCACTATACCAAACATTACCCTCCTAAGTGCAGATTTTATGAGAAATGTACAGTTAAAATTGGCAGAAAGCAGCAGAAAGGAAGATGGAAATGAAAGAGAAAAAAGGAAGAAAGACTGTATGAGGATAAACAAATGTTGTGCTAAGTTACAGTTCATAAAAAGCCTGCCACATCAAATCCAAGGAAGAACAGGTTGCTTTTCTGAATATGGTCACCATGCCCATCAGGACCAGGCGTCTGCATCGCCTTCAACACTCACCATGCACTTGTCACACTGGATCATGAGGCCTTCATCCTTATAGAGGCCACAGATACATCGGATGACATCATCATCCTTTTCATGCCCATTATCTTTTTCAGAGACTGAGGTCTCACTGCTGTCTGCCTCACTTGCTGTTTCTCCTACAATCTCATCAATTTGAGCTGATGCCTCATGCCGGGCATTGTAATAGGCCTTCCGTAAGCGGCAAACATCCCTCCCAATTGGGGATTTACGCCCATAGTACTTCTGAAGAAAGCAAAAGAAAAAGAGATCATTTTTGTTCTTCTCATTATGGTTTACAAATATACCTGCAGAGGCAGCATGATTTTCTTTATTCTCCCCTTTTGGCTAACAAACTGAACTATAATGAATAAAAATTAGAATTTAGATAGTATGTTTTGCTATTGCGTTCCTGTCAAGGTCATTAAATTTTAATTAATGTTGCAAGCATAATGTATTGCAGAAATTTCCCATTTTCCTTTGTTTAGCAAATGCTTGGAGCACATAGTAAATGTCTGTGGAATCTGGGTTTTAATAGAAACTATGTCCTAATTGAAGACTGCTCTAATTATTTTCCTACCCTAATAACCTTTTCTGTTTTCCCCAGAGTATTTCAAAGTCACTGGAGAATTGCCTTTTTTAAGCTATTATATAGTATTTCATTTATACTCTAGGCTTGCTTTTGGAGGTGGGTCTTACTTATAGCCTGGTCTGAGCTCAAACTTGAGCTGACCTTCTTGCCTCAGCCTTTCAAATGCTAGGATTACAGGAGTGAGCCACTAAGCTTGGTCTCATATGTACTTATTTTCATGAACAAAGATATGACAGATGCAAAATAAATTGGTAAAAATGTATAATATAAAAGTTCACTATAAAATTAGGATTTTATAAAGATTATATTGTTTTTGACAAATGACTCAATCTTCCATTCCAGAATTTTCTGTGCGTGCGTGCATGCGTGTGTGCGTGTGCGTGTGCGTACACGTGTGCCTGCCTGTCTGTCTTTGTAGGCCACAGGAAGAGCTTGGGTATCCTGAGGAACCCTGTCCACTTTTTTTTTAAATGTGCACTGGTGTTTTTCCATGGGTGTCAGGTCCCCTGGAACTGGAGTTATAGACACTTATGAGCTGCCCTGTGGGTGCTGGGAATTGAACCCAGGTCTTCTGGGAGAGCAGTCAGTGCTCTTACCCACTGAGTCATCTCTCCAGCACCCACCCCCACAACTTCTTTTGGCTTGGAGTTAACCAGTTAGAATGGAATGGATGGCCAGTGAGCTCCAGGATCCTCTTGTTTCTGCCTCCTCAACTCTGGGACTGCAAGGGCACAACACCACACCTGGCTTTTCTTTTTAGTCAGGGTCTCATTATGTAGCTCTGGCTGGCTTAAAACTCATGCTACATATAGACTACAGAGATCCATTTGCCTCTGCCACACTCATGCTGGGGTTAAAGGTGTGTGACATTATATCTGGCCACATCCAGCATTTTCACTTATGTTTTGGGGATCAATACTTTTACAGTGTAAGTATGTGTACTGACTGAGTTAATTTTTTTAGTTAAAAAGTTGTTATTGCTATGTTGCACATATATGCCATGGCATGCATATAGGTCAGGTAATGACTTAGCAAGTGAGTTCTTTTCTTCCAACACTATACTGTGGGTTCTGGGAACAAAGTCAGGTTATTAGATTGCATAGTAAGTACTTATACCTGAACAGCCAGCCATCTTGTTAACTGGGCACCCACCCCACCACCTCTGTCAAGAGACAGAAACTTACTGTAAGAATTCTCTGTGGATCAGGCAGCCTTTGAACTTACAGAGATCTACCTGCATCTGCATCCCAAGTGCTGGGAGTGAAGTTATACATCACTATTCTTAACCAAAAAATGTAAAGATATCTATTTTTATATACATTAATGTTTTTCCTGCATGGCTATCTATCTGTGTGAGGGTGCCAGATTCCCTAGAACTGGAGTTACTGCCATGTGAGTGCTGGAAATTGAACCTGGGTTACTCTGGAAGAGCAGCCACTGTTCTTAACTGCTGAGCCATCTTTTCAGTCTGGCCAGAATACTTTTAATAAATGGAATTTTACACTATTTTGCACAACATAATGCAAAGAGTGTCTAAGGAAAATGACTTGTTTTGGGTTTGGAGAACTGGCTCAGTAATTAAGAGTACTGGCTGCTCTTACATAGAAGGTTCAGTTCCCAGGACCTACATCATGGCTCACAACTATCTGATGCCCTCTTCTGTCCTCAGTGCACACTGCACACACGGTGCATAAACATACACGCAGGTAAAACACGATACAAAAAAAAAAAAAAAAAAAAAAAAAAAAATTCCTGGTCAAGTTGATAAGATGGCTTAGCAGGTACTTACTGCTAAGCCTGACAACCCGAGTTTGATCCTTGGGACCCACATGCTATAGGAGGAGGAAACTGATGCCTCTACATGCATGCTGTGTCATGTATATGCTCCCACAAAACAAATAAACAGATGTAGCAATTAAAAGAAATTTATTATACTTCCCAACATGAAATTTAAAATTTTAAAATAGTTATCTTTAGACCAAACTTCTTAAATTTGTGTTTGATGTTAACAAATACCTCAGCGTTTCGAAAGACCTTGAGCATGTCAGCATCAAATGCTTCCACTGTTTTGTAATACCCAATGAGGATCCGTTTTTCTATGGTATTGAGATCCAGGGGGTCAGAGATCTTCTCATAATAGTCAGCGTTCCTGGAACACAAATCAGGCTGTCAATCTGGTGCACTAACCTCTCTACTGAGCTCTGCAAGGCTATCACAAACATGACTTACTTTTTCTTTGGGGGGAGATTCAAAAGTGGAGCTGCAAGGGCTTGTTGGGAAGAATCTGCAAAAGAATACAAGGTTTAGCACACACATGCTAAAAGGAAGGACATTAGCCAACTCGCCTGCCTGCCTTCCTTTCTTCTACTTGAGATGAAGGTCTTGTTTTGTTGTTTAAACGGTCTAGAACTCATGGCTTAAAAGAGCAGCCTGAATTACAACCACCTATCAGTTCACTTAACTTATTTTATTAAAATTTATTTTTCCTTGGTCAGATGTGATGGTCTATGTTCTTGGAGTTCTGACAGGATACATCCTCGAATACATACTCAGTTGCAGCTACTAAGAGTATCACCTGTGCACATTCACTATGTTCCTTTTTAAAAAGGGCCTTGTCCACCTCCCATCTCTCTCTCTCTCTGCCTCCCTCCCTCCTTCCTTTCTTTTTTTGATTTTTCGAGACATGGTTTCTCTGTGTGGCTTTGGAACCTGTCCTGGAACTAGCTCTTGTAGACTCACAGAGATCCGCCTGCCTCTGCCTCCAAAATGCTGGTATTAAAGGCATGCAGTACCACCACTGGGCCCTCTCTCTCCTTTTTTACCTTCTCCTCTCTCTTCCTTCTCTTTACCCACCAAAGAGATCAAACAATACTTTAAAAATCAAGCAATATTATGAAGGATATAGTTCATAGATATAAAATGTTAAATAATGATAGCTAGATCATGATAATAATTTTCTATAAAGAATGTGAGCTATAACTTTAGGGCAAATTCTTGCTCCTGCTCGTAAGCCTGCTGGTTTCAAACCACTATGTAAGCAGGAAAGACCTCAAGTTTCTTTCTCCCTTCCTTGCTCCCTCCCTCCCTCCCTTTCTTTCTTTCTTTCTTTTTTTTTTTTTTTTTTTGGTTTTTCAAGACAGGGTTTCTCTTTGTAGCTTTGGAGCCTGTCCTGAACTTGCTCTGTAGACCATACTGACCTCAAACTAACAGAGACCACCTAACTGCCTCCCCAGTACTGAGATTTATGGCGGGTGGCACCACTGCCTGGCAAAAAATCTTTTTACAACAAAAAAGATCATCAGATCTAAAATATGTTTTCCAGTCTCTCTTAAATGTCCATAATTAATATTCTTGTTGGTATGGATTTGACTGAATTCCAGATAGAAAAGAATTTAGTAGCCTTTCCCTATTATTTATTTTTCTCAAACAGTGTGACACACAGCATTCTTAGTGAGGGATTCTGTCTCATTTGGTATCTTCTGGTAGTTTCATTGGAGAAAGAGAAATGTTGCTTAGAGTGCAGATATATATACTAAGTAGGTAATATTAGAGCAGTTCCATGTTAGTCAAAAGGGCTTTCTAAGAAGACACACATGGCACAGGTGCCACAAAACCTTACATCTTTTTATATTCTTGTTGAGACGGGATCTTATTATGCACTACTGGCTGGCCTGGGTCATGTACAGAGATGGCCTCTGCCTCCTAAATGCTGGGATTAAAGAAGTACACTACCATGCTAGGCAAAAGCAAAAAACAAACACTCTACAGTTTTTTTTTTTTTTTTTTTTTTTTTTTTGGAGACTGCTTTCCCTGTACCCTGGCTGACTTTGAACTCAAAGATCCACCTGCCTCTACTTCCCAGATTTGGGGGATAAAAGGCATATGCTACAATCACCTGGCTGTATGTGGACCATGATGGCCCCACACTCATAGCAATCCTCTCTAGGGCTGGGTTTAAGACATAAGATACTATACTTATAATTTTTAAAAATTCATTTGATTTCATTTTATGTACATTTGTCGGCATTCATGTCTGTGTGAATGTTTAGGATCCCCTGGAACTGGAGTTACAGAGAGTTGACAGGTGCCATATGGATGATGGGAATTGAACTAGAGTTCTCTGGAAGAGCACTGAACTTTCTCTCCAGCCCTGATAATTTAAAATTTCAATGTAATCTCATCCATGGAAATTAGATTACCTATCCTCTAGTTAAAAAAAAAATATAGTAGTTAACCATAAATAATAAGCACACATTGATATGTACAAGGCTCTGGGTTCAAATAACTGAACAAGTAATTTATTCTATAATTCTCTATCTCTGACAAAAGGTAGAACAAGGGGCTGGAGAGATGGGTCAGCAATTAAGAAAACTGGCCTGAAGTAAGAGAAGACCTGAGTATAACTCCCAGGTCAGTAAGCTTACAACACTGCCTGTAACCCTGGCTCCATGTTGTCTGGCGCCCTCTTCTGACCTCCATGAGCACTGCATGTACAGGGACAAACAGCCTCACCACCCAACACATAAATATTTTTTCTAAAAAAACAGGAAGTCAGAGGCAGGAAGGCAGATCTCAATGAGTTTGAGGTCAGTCTGGTCTACAGAACAGTTCCAGGATAGTTATGACTATTACACAGAGAAAACCTGTCTTGAAAAACAAACAAACAAACCAACCAACCAAAAAAAAAAAAAAAAAAAAAGAGGATGCAGAGTTAAGAGCCCTGGCTGCTTTTGCCAAGGATTCCCAGAACTGCCTGTAAATCCCTTTCCAGGGGATCCAATGTCCTTTTCTGTCCTCTGCTGGCAACAGGAATACATGAGGCACACAGATAAAAACAGGTAAAACCTCCCATTCACATAAAAACGGGGAAAAAAAAAAAAATCTAAAATCCTTTATCTATTAACAACTACCAGAAGAACAAATTTATCTCCTAAATTCACAATCCTACAGTGTTCTTGAAGTGTGGGGCTTCTTCAGGAGAGGGTGAGACTCATACCTTTGTAAGAGATGATACCATCACAGATCTCTTTGAAGATCTGTGCTAGGCGAGCTGCCCGAGCCACTTCCAGGTTTTCCTCCGCAGCTGCCAAGCGTCTTGTTCTTACAGATCTAGCTGTCTGCAGGGCAGAGAACTGGGTCATGAAGACATCTGCAAAGAGAAGGTGAAAGGCAGTTTCAGGAAATGAAGAATGAGATGTATCTTTTTCTTTGCCAGTTGATTCCTGTGTTTTTTGTTTTTTGTTTGTTTTGTTTTTTTGAGACAAGGGTTTCTCTGCATTGATTTGGAGCCTGTCCTGGAACTCGCTCTGTAGACCAGGCTGGAATTAACTCACAGAGATCTATCTACCTGTCTCTGCCTCCAGAGTACTGGTATTAAAGGCATGTGCCACCAATGCCCAGCTTGACTCCTGACCTTTTTTTTTTTTTTCCTTTCTATTTTCCTTTAGGATATTAAGTAGAATTAGTGGGCAGGTAGTTGTTTCTCTTTCCATAGAGAAAAACTAGAGAACACTAGTGTTTACATATAGTAGTAAATGCTACATAGTGTAGTAGCTGTGTGTACTTCAAAAAGAGTCTGACAGCCTCCATCTTCCTTATTTTCTTCTTTCCTCTCTGTATCAACATACTGTTTCCTTTTTTCCCTTTAAGTCTCTTAGCAGTTAAGAGTGTGTGTATTGCTCTTTCTGGGAACTTGAGTTTAGGTCCTTACCAGGTAGCGCACAACCTCAGGTAGTTAAAAACCTCCGGTAGCTCACAACTTCCTCTAACTCCAGCTTCATGGTATGTGATGTTTTCCTCTAGACTTATACACTTAAACGTGACAAACCTTTAAATGGATGTGTGACCATGTGAGCTGAGTCCAGGCTACAGGCAGTACAGTAAGCTTTCTATTTCCAGATCCTGCCCTTGCAGTGCTGCTAAATAAAGCCTTGTCTGATGGGAGATGTCATTCTGTAAATATGTTTCTCTTCTTGGCTAATGAATAAAGCACTGTTGGCCAATAGGAAAGCAAGATAGGCAGGGCTAGGAGACAAGGTGGTTTCGGGAAGAGGTAGGAGGAGAGTCAACATGTAAGACCAAGAGAACAGAGGTCCTGATTCTCTCTCTGCTAAGACCACATGGAAATAAAGTCTTGTCTGATGGGAGATGTCATTCTGTAAATAAGTTTCTTTTATTGGTTTTGTCTGCATTAATATTTAAGACAGAGCCAGCCAATAAGAAACCAGTAACTGGCCAACAACATTACATCTAATACAGCGTCTCTCTGTGTTATTTGGGGCTGGTGTGGCTCTGGGACCAGATGGTGGGAAAACAGCTCGTAACAACGGCATGCTGAAGGAAGGGTGTCTCTCTCTCTCTCTGTGTGTGTGTGTGTGTGCGCGCGCGCACAAATGTGCAAATTTAGCAACAGGCAATGTGTCTGGCACCATGTAGATCAGGCTGGCCTTGAACACAAAGTTCTTCTGCTTCCTAAATATTGGGATTACAGAATGTGCCACCATACCAGGCACATTATTTTCATGTATTTAGCTTGGAAGCAGGAAATCATAGGGAAGTGGTTAGCAATTTGGGACTCCTTTTTTGTTTGGCCATACCCCTCTTTTAATAAGTGGCAGCATGAGATACTTAACTGATCATAGTCACACACCTCTCTCTGAAAAACTTACCTGTCAACTTGTAAGATAGGACCGACCCTGTGGTGGTTTGAAAGAAACTGGACCCCAAAGGGAATGGTACTATTAGGAGGGATGGCTTTGCTAGAGGAAGTGTACTCCTGTGGGGGCAGGCTTTGAGGTTTTTATGCTCTGGATACTGCCCAGTGAGTCAGTCAACTTCCTGCTGCCTACAAGACAACTCTTGGCTACTTTCTCCAACATCATATCTGCCTGTTTGCCACCATGCTCCCTGAAATGATGATGGACTGAACCTCTTAAAAGTTAAGCAAGCCCCCTCAAATGTTTTTCCTTATAGATGTTGCCATGATCATGGTGTCTCTTCATAGCAATAAAAAACCAAACTAAGAAAGACCTCTACTTGTATGGAGGGGCATACACATCCTACTTTGAATAATGGAAATTTTCCCTTCCCTTAAAAACATCAAACTTGGCTGGGCAGTGGTGGCTCACGACTTTAATCCTAGCATTTGGGAGGCAGAGGCAGGTGGATTTCTTTGAGTTTTAGGTTAGCATATTCTACAGAAGGAGTTTCAGGACATGCAAGGCTACACAAAGAAACCTTGTCTTGAAAAACCAAAACCAAACCAAAAAAATAAAGCATCAAATTTAAATTCTTTTCAATTGTACTCCACTTATCAAGTTAAGTGGGTTGATTTAGCCAAAACTGGTTTTGAATGCATGCATAGTAAGACAAAACATATATTTAAAATGAACTTTTGGAAGAATCTCCTATTTACCATGTTACATCTATGCAAAATTGGAAGTACACAGGATCAAAATAAGATGCATTATAGGAAGGGACAAGTGTAATATAAAAGTGATTATATAATTTGATCTGTCAATTAAAATAGAGACTGTCTTCAAACATGATGCTAATAACCAAACTCCTCTATCTCTGGAACCCAGAAAGAAAGTACATAGTCAAGCATGTGAGCCCTTTTCACCCATGTTGCCTGAGGTGACCCTTGACAGTAATCTGACCTGTCATTTGCTACTTTTGAAAATCCATGTAAGAAGCCAAGAATTTGGCCATACCCAGTCCAGACTTGGATCTGTTACCAGTCCATTGAGTGATGTGTATAATCAGTAAATAACTCTACTATTTGAACTGTTTGGCTTGAAAATTCAAAGATTCTAACAACCAAACTGCTGAAAGGATTTAAAATTCTGAGAAATTAATTTTTCTCTGGGTTGGGGAGACTGTTCAGTGGGTGGAGATGCTTTGTGCAAAGCCTAATAACCTGAGTTTGAGCTCCAGGACCTACAATTGAAAAGAGAATGGACTCCCACAAGTTGTCCTCTGTCGTCCACATCCATGTTATGCCATGTGTTCCACTTGGCCTGCCCCTCTTTCTCTAAATAACAATGGGATTACCAAAAGCTATAACCCCAGCACTATAGAGGCACAGAAAGGAGAAATGGGTGTCCAACGTCATCCTCAGCTATACGGCAAGTCCAAGGCTAGCTTGAGCTGCACAAGACCCATCTTCTAAGTACAAAACAAGAAACAAAGGCTCTCTAAAGAAGCTATTTAATAATTTATTTATTTGAAACAAGGCCTCACTCTAGATCAGGCTGACTTCAAACCGATGGCAACCTTCAGTCTCTCAGTGCTGATTAAAGGTGTTCATACGTCACCTGTCTGACTTTTTTTCCTTTTTTTTCTTTTTGAGACAGCATAGTGTCTCATGTAGCTAGCACAGGCTGGCTGTAATGCATTGTGCAGCCAATAGTGACTTTAAATACTTGGTCCTTTTGCTTTTAATTCATAAATGATGGGGTTACAGGTATTGCCACCATGTCTGTCACCTCTTTTTAGGAATTATTTACCTACTTGTGCATATATGAATATGCCACAGGACACTTGTGAGGTCAGAGTACAACATTCAGAAGTCTCAAAACTCAGTTTGCTGGATTTAGCAGTAGTTGTCTTACCTGCTGAGCCATTTTGCTGGTTCTAATGTTTTTTTTGAAATACTTTCCCTTCTTTTAAAAAAAGGATCTTGTGTAGCCACTCTGTAGCTTGAGACTGGCTTTGCCCTCCAGATCTTCCTGCTGTTATTAAAGGTATGCACCACCATATCCTATACTGGACATTCCATTTAGAAAGGATTCATGGGCCAGGTGTTGTGGTGAAAGATTTTAATCCCAGCAATTGGAAGGCAGAAGCAGCTAGATGTTTGTGAATCAGAGGCAAGCCAGGTCTACAGAGCAGGACAGCCAGAGTTACACAGTGAAATGAAGTTTCAAAACCAAAACTAAAAACAAAACAAAATAGGATGCACAAACAAGCCAGTATCTCATCTGTAATGGAGTGCATACTAGCTCAAATTATGAGTGCAGTTTCTAATAGTCACTCAAGAAGGAAACTGGATGCTTTGCATGCATAGTATTTACTTAAATATATGAGAAAGGCCTCTGAGTTTATAGTTATGACTTTTTTCTCCCCATAATGTTTTTTTGGCATCATTGTTTTGGTTCACACTAAAAAAGCATCTTAGAATAAGCAGTGTAAAAGTAAAACAGGGGAAGGTAAAGATGCCTGGCCCGTGCAAGCCTGGTGATCTGATGTCAATCACTGGAAGCCATGTAAAGTTAGAAAGAGAAAAACTAATTCATGAAAGAGTCTTGTAGTCATACACATACTCACACACACACACACCCTCAATAAAAAAATTGGGGAACTCTCCTACCCCAAACAGGACATCATAATGTGGCCTTGGCTGGTGTGGAGCTCACTATGTGGATCAGGCTGGTCTCAAACTCCTTGTTCCCATCGTCTAAGTGACAGGGTCACAGGTGTGTACCATCATGCCCAGTTCTAATTAATTTTTTCTTTTATTTGTATTTTGCCTGCAGGTATGCATACCCTGTGCCTGAAGTGCCCATGGAGACCAAAGAGAGCACTGGATCTCCTAGAACTGGAGTTACAGATGGCAGTGTTAGGAAGTGAACCTGGGTCCTCTGGAAGAACAGCCAGTGCTCCCAGCAGAAAAGCCATCTTTCCAAACATGATTTATTTTTTAAAAGTAATTAAAATGATCATTTTTGAATAATTTCATAGAATTAAGGGTTAGTCATCACAGCTAGATGGTGGTAGCACTTGGGAGGCAGAGCAGGTGATCTGTCAGCTTGAGGCCAGCTTAGTCTATAGAGAGTTCCCAAGACAGCCATGGCTACACAGAGAACCTGCCACGAAAAATAAAATAACAACAACAAAAAACAATAACAAAAGAGTAAATCTTGGGTTGGAGAGATGGTTCAGCGAATAAAATAGTACTGGCTGCTCTTTCAGAGGTCCTGAGTTCAATTCCCAGAAACCACATGGTTGTTCACAACCATTTGTACTAGAAACCAATGCCCTCTTCTGTCATGCAGACATACACACAATTAGATCATTCATATACATAAATAATAACAATAAAAAAGTAAGTCTTCCTGTGCCTTACCAGACTTAATATTCCCATCATCTCTGCAGATGCCATTCCAACGGGTGTACAGCGAAGCTGAGTGAATATCACGAGTGTGCTTTACTTCCTCCTGTTTCTGATGAATCTTTTCCCAGTTTCGGACCAAGAACACATGATGCTTTAATACAAAGTTTCTGCAAGAAAAGAGAAGGGTGTTCCTTATTAATCCAGTAAGACTTTATTACATGTTCACTCTCCATTGCTGCTAAGTGACATAGATAACTGAACAGTAGCTTTTAAAAACAATTATACAACTGGGCACTGGCAGTTCACATTGGTCATCTGAGCACTCAGGAGGCTCAGATTTGAAAGCCTGCTTGGGCTACAGAGTGAGACTTGTAAAACACCAAACACCATTTTCCTATATTATCTCCAGACATCTGGCAAGGAAAGTAACCAGACTAGAAAGCAGAGGTTTATGAAATGTTTGTACAAATCTTGTTTTGTTTAGGGACTTGAACTCACTATTACAGTCTAAGCTGGACTCAAATCTTCCAGGACGGCCAAGGCTACAACAGAGAAACCCTATCTCAAAAAACAAAAATTACATTTATTTACTGTTTGTGCACGTGCACTTAGGTATGTGTGTGGGTGTGCATGGAGGTCAAACGACACTTGCAGGAGCTGGTTTTCTCTTTCAACTAAGTGGACTCAGCGATCAGACTGAGGCCACTGGGCTTGCAACCAGCTCTTTTTCCTGCAGAGCCGCCTCGCTAGCACCTGTTTTGTCTTTTCCCTTCTAGAGAGGGCCTCCGGTAGCCCAGACTGGCCTCAAACTCAGGTGGCTGAGGAACACCTTCATCCTTTTCTTAAACAAACAAGCCCTCCCCAGGAGGCACAGGCAGGTGGATTTCTGAGTTTGAGGTCAGCCAGGTCTCCACAGAGAGTTCTAGGCTAGGTCAAAGTTACATGGTGAGACTATGTCACAGGAGGCAAAAATTTTATTTAATAATATTTACTTCCTTTTGTTGTTGTTGGTTTTTTTTTTTGGTTTTTCAAGATAGGATTTCTCTGTATTGCTTTGGAGCCTATCCTGGAACTTGCTCTGTAGACTAGACTGGCTTGGAAATCACAGAGATCTGCCTGCCTCTGCCTCCCAAGTGCTGGGATTAAAAGTGTGCACCACCAACGCCTGGCTAATATTTACTTACTTTTAATTTATGTGTATGTGCTTTGTCTGTATTTATGTATGTGTATAGTGTGTGTGCCTGGTGATCTTGGAGACAGAGGAGCACATCAGATCCCCTGGAACTATAGTTATAGATGGTTATGAATTGTCATGTGGTTACTGGGAACTGGACCAGGTTCTCTGAAAAAAGATCTTAACCACTGAGATATCTCTTCTGGCCCCTACTTTTAATGTTTTAATTTATTTTTAATGAAGTGTGTGCACACGTGTAACAGCTTGCAGTTGTTGGAAAAGGCTCAAGTTATTGAATGTCCCAGAATCAAACTTGAATATTGTGCAACAGTTACACTCACTTTTAATTGCCAAGACAGCTTTGCAGCTCATTTAACTTTTATTTATTTATTTATTTATTGTTTGTTTCAGACTGGGATTCTCTTTTCAGACTGGGATTCTCTGTGTAGCCTTAGCTATCCTGGAACTCACTCTGTAGACCAGGCCATACTTGAACTCACAGAGAAATGCCTGCCTCTGGCTCTGAGTGCTAGGATTAAATGCATATTCTACCACTACCTGGCTATTCATATATTAAAAAAAAGAAAGAAAGAAAAAACATTTATTTAATTAACAGGCGCCAAGGAGATCAGAAGAGGGCACAAAACCCTAGAGCTTGAGTTATAGACAGCTGTGAGTCACCCAGGCAATGAGTTGCCCAACATGGATGCTGCGAACTAAAAGCAATTATGTGTTCTTAACCACTAACCTTAGCTCCAGTCCTTTAAAATATTTATTATTATTATTGTGTGTGTTTTGTTTGCCCACATGCTATGTGCAAGGGCCACAGCAAACATCTGAAGATCATAGGACAACTTTGTGCAGTCAGTTATCTCCTACTTTTGTAAGGGTTCTGAGGAATATAACTTAAGTCACCAGTGTCTATCTCCTATGCCATTTCAAAAGCCTTGACTTTGAACTCCCCCACCACCTCCAGACAGGGTCCCTCTGTGTAACAGCTTTGGCTGTGCTAGAACTTGCTTTGTAGACTAGGCTGGCCTACAGCTGATGTGTCTCTGCCAAGGCACTTTCTGATTGTTTTAATAAGGAGTTGAATGGCCAATAGCCAGGCAGAAGAGGATAGGAGGGACTTCTGGGGAGAGAGAAGAACTCTGGGGAGGGGCAGGATTGGCCAGTGAGACCCAGAAAAGTTGGAGGAGAGGTAATGAGCCAAGTGGTAGAATGTAAATTAATATAAACAGTTTAATTTAAGTTATAAGAGAACAAGCCTAAGCTAAGGCCAAGCATTCATAATTATTAATGTGTCCATGTCATTATTTGAGAACTGGAGGCACAGAGAACATCTGGCTATAGGAAACCCCCAGACAGGGTTTCTCTGTGTAACAGCCCTGACCAACTTAGAACTAGCTCTGTAGACCTGATGGGTCTGTAAATCAGGTCACCATGAAAGTATTCTAACCAACTGAGCCATCTGACTAGCTCTTTTCTTTCCTTCTGATATGGGCAGTTCTTATCAGAATAAGCAAGTGTGCTTAATTGCTGAGCAATCTCTCTAGCCTCAAGATTACCTTTCTTTATATGTAGTTCTGACTGGCCTTGAACTTGCTGAAATCTGCCTGCCCCTGCCTTCAGAGTGCTGGAACTGAAGATGTGTAGCCATGTCTAGTAAAAGCCTTTTATTTGTTTACTTTTAAATTTCTATTTGTGTGTTTTTTGTGCCATGTATGTGCAGGTGACTGTGACAACTAGAAGATGCTGTCAGGTTCTGTGGAGCTGGAGTTACAATTTTTTTTTATTTTTATTTTACTTTATGTGTATGGGTGTTTTGTATATATAGCATATGCATGCCTGGTGCAAGCTGAAGCCAGAAGGTGTCAGATGCCTAGGACTGGAGCTATGGATGGCTGTGAGCTGTAGTGGGGGTGCTGGGAACTGAACCTGGGTCCTCTGGAAGAGTACCCAGTGTACTTCACCCACTAAGCCTCTCTAGTCCCAAATCTAAGGTCTAGGAGTCAGAATTCAGGTCCTTGTGCTGCATAGCAAGCACTGCTATTTATTGATCCATCTCCACAGCCGTAAATATATTTTTTATTGCTCAATAAAACAGGATTTTTTTTGTCATTGATTCCTCTGGTAGTCTCATGAAATGTATAGAAGCTTTCTGTGAGCAGTTACTTCACAGGCCATCAAAGTAGTATAGTGTAAAAATGCTTGTGGAGCAATCCTGATGACCTGAATTTGATTCCAGGTCCCACAGTGGAAAGAGAATGGACATCCCCATGCTTGCCATGTCTGTGTGATCCTGTATTCACACATATATACCACATACACACATACAAATAAATAAAACAATTTTAAAATTAATTTAAGCTTTATGTAACTTAAAAGTTAAGTATGATGTATGCACACATACGTATTTATGTGAAGGTGAGAAGATAACTTTTGAGAGTTAATCCTAGTGCTCTCTACCTTATTGAAACAGGGTCTTTCTTGATCTTTCTACTGGTGTGCTATCCTCTATCTGGTCCATGAGATTTCTAGCAACTTGTCCGTTTCCACCTTCCATCTCACTGTATAAATGCCGGGACTTGAGATGCTCTGCTCATTAGTTTTTGAGACAAATTAGAGTCACTTGGAAAGAGGGGAAACTCAGTTGAGGAACTGCCTTCATTACATTGAACTCTGGGCATATCTGTGGGGCATTTTCTCAATTGCTAATTGATGTGAAAGATTGTAGTACACTGCAGGTAATACCATCCCTAGGTTGGTAGGCCTGGGCTGTATAAGCAAATGAGCAGTATTCCTCTATGGTCTCTGCTTTAGTTCCTGTAAGGTGAAAAAAACCCTCTGCTCTGCAAGAACACTTTTTGTCATGGCATTTATCATAGCAACAGACAAAAAACTAGGACAGATGTGCACCACCATACCCTGCTTTTAATGGGGTTCAAGGATGGAATTCAAGTTGTCACATTTGTACAGGTAGAGCTTCATCTACTGAATCATCTCTCTGGTCCTACATGCTCCCCTCCTTTATATTTGTTTACTTGTTTTGTTTATATCTGTGTACCTGTATATGTGTGGGGATGTGCATACTACAGTGTGTGGAGGTCATAGGACAACCTGTGGAAGTTGGTTTTCTTCTATTACATGGATTCCAGGGGTTGAACTCAGGTTGTAAGGATTGCTGGTAAGCGCTTTTACCTGCTATCTCACTAGCTCCCCTACGTAACTATGAATATGTTTGATTAAAAGGAAATCAGATGAGTAGAACAATTTATTTTTGTTCCTGTAATTTTAGCACTTGGGAAGCAGAGGTGAGAGGAGCATCTTGAGTTAGAGAACAACCTGATTTATATAGGCAGTTCTATGCTAGACCTGGTTTTAGAAAGAAAGAAGGAAGGGAGGAAGGGAGCACTTAGGGAGGTAAAGGCAGGATGACCAGAAGTCCAAAGTCATCTTTGACTATATAGTAAGGCCAGTACTTGAGAGACACAGAAAGAAGTTACAAAATAAAAAATTGCTTCCACTCCCTCAAAACGGCAGATAAATAAATAAAGGTTTCAAGGGTTCCGGTTTAAAACATCAAAATAATACAGACATATAAGTCAATGTTTTTCCTCTATGTGTACTGGGAGGTCAAAATGATGGAACTTCTACATGCTAGCAGTGTATCTGACTATTGACCACTTACTTATTCTACTTATTATTAGTGTTTATTTATTTTTAAGTTCTCATAATGTCATTTTATCTGGCTTGTGGCTTGTAGAGCAGGCTGGTCTCAAACTCAGAAATCCACCTGCTTCTACCTCTACTTTTAATGCCTGAGTGTTGGCATTAAAGGCATCTACTATTATGCCCAGGTTCTACATTAATTTTTCTTTTTATTAATTTATTTTTATGTATGTGGGTGTTTTGCTGATATGTATGTCTGTGCACCACATACATGCCCCATGACTGTGAAGGCCAGAAGAGGGTGTTAGATCCCTTGAAACTGGAGTTACAGACAGCTGTGAGCCACCATATGGGTGTTGGGAATTGAACCTGGGTCCTCTGGAAGAGCAGTAAGTACACTTAACCACTAAGCCATCTCTCCAGTCCCCTATATTCTTCTTCTTCTTCTTTTTTTTTTTTTTTTTTTTTTTTTTTTAATTAAGACAAGATATGGCGGTCTGAAAGGAAATGGCCCCCAAAGGGAGTGGCATTATTAGAAGGTGTGGCCTTGCTGGAGGAAGTGTGTCACTGAGCAAGTGGGTTTTGAGGTCACCTATACTCCAGCTATTCCCAGTGAGACAGACCATTCCTGTTGCCTGCAAGGTGCAGCACTTTTAGATGCTTTTCCAGTATCATGTCTGCCTGTGTACCACCATTTCCCACCACGATGATAATGGACTGAACCTCTAAAACTATAAACCACCACCCCAATTAAATGTTTTCCTTTGCCATGGTCATGGTGTATCTTCACAGCAACAGAAACCGTAACTAAGACAGAAATTGGGACCAGGGGCTGGGGTATTGCTGTGACAGGTCTGACAATGGTTTTTCTTTTCTTTTTTTTGGAGGAATTTGGACAAAACAAAAACAAACACACACGTACACCTTTGTCTTTAGTTGAATTAAGACCTGATGTCTTAGACCAACTTCCTGAAGTTCAGCAATATTTTACATTGACAAGCAAGTCATATAAAAACTTCTTAAGGTTATTTAAAAAGCACTCAATATTAAAAACCCTTTTTACCTTTCTCTATTGGACATTGGTTTCATCTGTAATTGTGGAGTCAATCTTGTTGGGGTATTGATGTTTTCACTGGGCTCTTCAGAGGGATGGCCTCTCTAAAAATTCAAGTGGGTGAGAGCATAAGGAGAAAAAAATTCAATCAGATATCACCTCTAAAATTGTAAAACCAATATTAAGATGCAACCCTCAACCTGATTCTAGACCCTTATTCTAGAAAGTGTCTGAAGGGAACTCAAAGCAGCCTTTAGGGAAACCTATAAGATCATGACTCACCCTTTTCTTCAGCTTGTGCTTAGACTTCCTCTTCTCTTTCGACCGGCCAGACTTCTTATGTGTGCTCATAGGTTGGCTGTTTTTATGGCTAGTGAGTCCATTCATCCTTTGGCTTTTGCCTCCGATGATTCCTCGACACTTCTCAAAACCACATTTACAAAGTTGCTGTAATGAAAGAATATATATATATATATATATATCTGTACATGCTTCTTTTATAAGTTCAAAGAGGGTGCCTGAGCATTGGGTCCCTAAAGTTTTAAGGATGAAGCAAGGATTTTAAGTGCAAATATGCTAATAATCAATTGAAGTATATACTGGTGGCCCATCCCTATAATCTTAGCATTTGATAGATGGAGGCAGGAATATATGGAGTTTACCATACAACATAGCATATCTGAGGGAAGTCTGATTCAAATGAACCAAAAGCAAGGAAGGGGAGAGTAAGAGGAAGGAGAGGGAAGGGATGGATTATAACTACTGAAGTAATGATGCACACCTATAATTTCTCTAATTACTCTAAAGGTAAATCAGAATACCCAACCTGGGCATAGTGGCACATGCTGTAATCCTAGCACTTGGAAGGGAGGATTGCTTCAAGTTCAAAAGCAGCCTGGTCTACATAGCAAGTTCTAGGCTTGCCAGGGCTATATATATAGCAAGACCCCGTCACAAAAACTGAAACCAAAACCAGACATGACTGAAGAACAATAACAAGGCACTGTGGTCTTCAGAGTTCTGAGACAGTGAGATCCACATCTTCGAGAGTGAAGAGCACTCTTCTTCAGTGTGAGTATCAATGGCTCCCTCTTCATTTTAAATTCTTACCTGTTTTTCTACATTGAAGGAATGAAAGTTATAATCATAGGTGAGCTCGGTCCCAGCTAGCACATCCTTAAGCGCATACAGTCCAATACGGTACACTCCATTAACAGACCTGTTTAGAAAATAGCAACATTAAAAGTTGAGTTTTGTTTGTCATCCCCCCCCCCCCAAGAGACAGAGTTTCTCTGTATTGCTTTGGAGTCTGTTCTGGAACTCACTCTGTAGACAAGGCTGAGGAAAAGAATGTAAAGGTGGGATTACAGACATGCATCATGCATCACTGTGTTTGGCCTTAGAGAGAGCATTTCTTTTTTCCCACATACCCTGAGCCCCCAGTAGGATTTTTTGTGTAGCTCTAGTTTCCCTAAACTCATTAGGTAGACAAGGCTGGCCTCACCTCACAAATATCCTCCTGTCTTTGCCTCTTGAGTTCTAGAATAAAAGGTGAGTGCCACCATGAACACAGAAGAGTTCAGGTCAGGTAAGGACTATACAGTGAGACACCATATCAATCAATCAATCAATCAATCAATCAATCAATCAATCAATCAATCAATCAATCAATTCAATCAATCTCAACCAAATGCTGCTCCAAGAGCAAAGAGTGGTAGCACTTGCTTACAATTTTTTCATTCTGTGCCAAAGTATGACACTCAGGAGTACAAGGTCAGCCTTGGTTACATAGAAAGTTTGAGGGTAGCGTGGGCTAAATGAGACCCTGGCTCAAAAAACAAAGGGGAACTGCCTAGTACAGTTGAGGCCCTATGAAACAAAACAAATCCACACTTATAAAACTAAAACAAAATATCTTAACAAGCAAATATTTCCCTGTGCCAGAAATCTTGAGTACATACCTTGCTGAGTTCTTACTGATTTATGTATCTATATAATTTCTCAGAAAGCTAAGTCAGTACCCATACCACAAACAATCCATATTATTCTCATCTTTACCACCATGTATTAGTTTTGTTTATTTTGCGTTTCAAATAAATGGAATCACAATATAATCTATACATTTAAAAAGAACATTTTAAAAATTATTTTATGTGTATGAATGTTGTATCTGTATGACTGTGCAACATATACATGCTTGGTGCCTGTCGAGGTCAGAATAGACACTGGATCCCCTGAAATGGATTTGGTTGTGAGTCACCATGTGGGTGTTGGGAACTGAACTCTGCAAGAGCAGTAAGTGCTCTTAACTACTGGGCTAGCTCTCCAGTCCTCAAAAAATTTAAATCTATGTGTATGTGTATATCTCTGTGGGAGGGGTGTACACGCAGAAGCCAGAACACAGTGTTAAGATTCATAAGAGCTAGTGTTAGAGCTAGTTCTAAGTTGCCCTACATGGGTGCTAGAAACTAAACTCAATTCCCTTCAAGAGCAGCAAGTAGTCTCAATTGTTGAGCCACCTCCTCAGTTCTTACTCCCCTCCCACTTCAAGACAGGATGCCTGTGCAGTCTTGGCTGTCCTGTGTAGACCATGCTGGCCTCAAACTCAGATCCACCTGCCTATGCCTCCAAAGTGCTGGGATTAAAGGTGTGCGCCACCACTGCCCAGGTGAGCCCTTGCTTATTTGGTGAGACAGGAGGACCTCACTGTGTAGTTATGGCTTGCCTCAAACAGAGAACCACATGCCTCTGCATGCTTAAATGTGCATGCCCCCATGCCTAGCAGTTTTGGTTTGTTTGTTTGTTTTTGGAGACAGGGTTTTTCCGTGTAACAGCTCTAAATATCCTGGAAAATCCTTGTAGACTAAGTTGGCCTAGAACTTACAGAGATCAGTCTGCCTTTGTGGCACAGAGATTGTAGTAATGGCCAATCAATGCCTGGTCCATGCCACAAGAGTGAGCCCACCCTTGATAGTGCCTAGAGTGCCAGGACCCAGAGACTGGATGGCTCAAGAGACCTAGGATAGAAAACTTGTTTTGAGACAGGGTCCCATGTGGCCTCAGAAGTGGAGGATGACTCTGAACTTCAGATCTCTTATGTTCACATTCTGAGGGCTGGGGTTAGAGGCTGTACCACAATGTGTGGTCTATAAGCTGCTGGGAATCAAACCCAAGGCTTTGGGCATCCTAGGCAAGCACTATACTGACTGAGCTGTATTTCATCCCTGGCTTATTCCAATCTACTTTGTTGGTGTGGGCTCTCTGCAACAGTGCCTTCCTAAGAATCACAGGTGTGCTTCCCATGTAAACTGCTGAACTCTCGAGTCTCTTAATCCCATTTTAGTTTCTCCTTTCCTCATTCCATCATCTAGTTAGGGCCTTCAGTACAAAGGGGAATTAAAGCTGTTGATAAGAGTAAAAATTGTTGAAAAAATTGTTAAAAAATTTCAGTTTTTTGTATTTATTGAGTGTGTGTGGCACATGAAGATATCAGATGACAACTTCAGAACGTTAACACTCTAATTTCACTCTCCTAGGGATTGAATGCAGATCTTCAGGCTAGGCTTACCCAATAAACCATCTCACCATGACTATGGCCCTAGATTTTAAGAACAGTCCCCACCACCCCCCTTTTGAGAAAAGGTCTCCTGTACGCAGTCTGGTCTTTGAATTATACACAGGAAGATCAGCAATTTAGGATCAGATGGGCAAGATGGCTCAGTGGGTACAGACAATTACTACCAAGCCTGGTTAACTCGAGTCCAGTCCCTAGGACCCACAGGGTAGAAAGAACTGATGTTGGGGCCGAGCTGATAGCTGGGCCTGTTGAAGGACATTGGCTGTGGAATTTGTGATTTGGGCTAGGATTGAAGTCATGGCTGGTGCAGAAAGTGATGCGTAATTCCAATTCCAGTTCATTGGTATTAAAAAGTCCTTCAACTCGTACACTCTCACAGGTAGAATAAATTGTGTAGTGGTCACATATGGAAGCACTATTTTGTTGGGTTTATACTTGAAATTAAGGCCTAAAGAACTTCAGCTGTGAAAGCATCATAAATGGAGTTTTGAAATGTCTAACCTCATCTGCTAAGTTCCATGCCTGAAGAAGCTCATGTCAATTCATCATGTAATACTCAATTTGTACAATAAATTATGATCTTGGAAAAAAGAAAAAAAAAAACCCTGATGTTTACAAATCAGTTCCCCGATGCCCACATGTGCTGTGTCATCAGTGTACATACATATACAAACGAGTAACAAATGAACACACACATAAATGTATAAAAAAGCTCATTGTCATCATCATCTAAATTGAAAGCTCAAGGCCAGCCTAAACTACAGTAATCTCAAAACAAACAAAAAAGTATATTTTAGTGTTATTAATGAAGACATGGCTGATGGGAGATGCCATTATGTATATATGTTTCTCATACTGGTTAATGATTAAAGCACTGTTGGTCAATAGGAAAGCAAGATAGGAGGGACTAGGAGACAAGGAGGAAAGAGGAAAAAGGAAGGAGGGGTCAACATGGAGAGTCTGGAGAGAATAGAACCGCCAGTCGCCTCTCGCTGGTAAGACCACGTGGAAATACATAGAAATGGGTTAATACTTAAGACAGAGCTAGCCTATAAGAAACAAGTAACTGGCCAACAGAATTATATCTAATACAGAGTCTCAGTGTGTTATTTGGGGCTGGAGTGGCGGCGGGACAAGACTAGGCTGCCGGCAGGAAAAACCTGTACTCCTTACACATGGCCTCAAGTTTCTTTTGGGACATGATTTTTAATTCTAGACTCAATTTCTTAAGAGTGTAAATACAGAAGGTCTAGTTATGTCATTTTTTTTTTTTTTTGGGAAAATGTGTTTTTCCCTTTTCCTCTCTTTCCTACATACATTTATTTAGTGCTGCAAGTAGTGGTCAGAGGCCTGACAGTGGTGCATGACTTTAATCCAAGCACTCAGGAGACAGAGGTAGCTGAAATCTGAGTTCCAGGACAGCCTGGAGAACAAGTTCCAGGATGGCTAGGGTTATACAGAAAAACCCTGTCTTGAAAAACAAACCAAAAAATTGAATTTAAGAAGAATCTGTTAATTCATGATGGGCATGATGCCACACACCTTAACCCCAGTACTCATGAGGAAGAGGCAGGGGAATCTCTGCAATTCTAGGACAGCCTGTTCTACATTGAGAGACCATACGTAAAACAAAGATGTCCACCCTCACAGTCAGTTCATTTTATTATTTTTTAAACATTTATTTTGTATTGGGCATATGTACACGTGTGTGCATGTGTGTGCATGTGTGTGTAATGACATGCATGTGGAGGTAGGGGACAACTACTGAGAGTGGATCTTTTTTGCTACTATGTGGGAAGAGCCACTGGAACATGGATTAAATCTCAGGGGATCAGTGAAGAGCTGAAAACTCAGATGAACCCTCTCCCTAGCCTTAGCGCCTAAAGACTATGTTGTATGCAACAGGGCCTAGGGCCAAAACTGAACACAAAGGAATTCCAGAACCCCCTAGCCTCCTAGATACTTGGATCCTGGGGACTGTTTGACCACAAAAGAAACTCCCCTGTACTCGCCAGGAAATTCAATTCTGAAAAATATTGGTACAACAGACCACTTGCAAGCTATAGAAACCACAGAAAGTTCCTTCCCATCACCGACCTATGAAAATAATGGGTACACAGATTTTACATGCCAAAAACATGACTAAAAAATTTGATTGTTCCCCAAATGTCAACCAATCAGGAGCCCACCCACTTCTTTCCCCTCCCAATGTTTTTCCTTTAAAAAAAACATAGCAATAGACCAAGAGGCCACTCCCTCTGGAGGCTGCTGTGTCAGCTTGCTAGATGGGGTCCCTCCCGAAGGATAGAGCAATCAAAAATCCTTGTGCATCTGCAACGGTGGGTCTGTCTCCCTGGTCTCTTTGGGGACCTTTGTGACCTGGTACAATAATCAGGTTCAGTGGAAATCATCTGTACTAGCTGACCAGCCTCACTGTCCTCTTGATTTTTCTGCTTTTTTTTTAACTACACAGCTTTGGTTGGCCTGGACCTCTCAATATTTCCAACAGCCACTGCCTCTGGAATGCTGGGATTAAGGGTATGCATCACCACACCCATGTCCTCCTCCCCATTTATTTCTTTTTGTATGTATGTATGTATGTATGTATGTATGTATGTATGTATGTATGTTTATGCACTGTGTGTATACCTGGTGCTTCGGAGGCCAGAAGAGGAAGAGCCATATGTGATCATATGTGGTTTCTGAGAATTGAACACAGGTCCTCTGCAAGCGCTATTAGCTGAATCATCTCTTCAGCCATTCTTTTGTTTTGTTTTTCGAGACAGGGGTTCTCTATGTAGCTTTGGAGCCTGTCCTGGAACTCCCTCTGTAGACCAGGCTGGCCTCCAACTCAGAGATCCACCTGCCTCTGCCCCCCAAGTGCTGGGACTAAAGACATGCGACGCCAATGCCTGGCCCAGTATTTTTTTTTTTTTTAAATAGAATTTCACTATGTAGCCCAGGTAGCCTCAATCTCAATACTCCCCTACTTTAGTTTCTCAAGTGTTGGGATTATAGGCATGTGCACATGTGGAGTATATGTATGTATTTTGTGGGTTTGTGTATATTCTTTGTGGAGGCCAGAAATCCCTTACAACAGATTATAACAGAAACTAGATCAAGATTTGTTTTAGAAGATGGGGAGATTGAATATGGGAAGAAAAGGGCAAGCTAGGTGCTGTGACTCATACTTGTAATCCTAACACTTGGCATACAGAGCAGGAGAATTGCTTTAAGTCTGAGACCAGCCTGGTCTATCTATATGTGCGTTCTAAGCCACCCAGGACTACATAATAAGATCCTGCCTGGTAATTTCCTGTTTTTGTTTCTTTGAGATAAGGTCCTGCTATGTAGCCTTGGCTGGCCTGGAATGCACACTGTACACCAGACTGGCTTTTGCTTGGGGAAGGCATGCACTGCCACAACTTATTGTCACTTTGCAGAGCTAGGGATAAAATTCAGCTTCTGTGCTTGTTAGGCAAGTGCTCTATCATAGAGCTCCATCTCAGTCTCCCAACTTCCTGAAATGTTTGTTACGTTTTGTTTTCATAGGGGTGAGGACTTTGTGGATGAATATATTGGTAAAAATATACATTTAAAACCTGTATTTTTGTTTATGAGAATTACACCTTAATTTAATAAAATTCATGAAAAAAATGAAGCTGTTTATATTATCCTCATATCACTTCTAATTGTGTGTTCATATGGACATGTAGTGAGATAGTCCTTCTGTGGCACTGACCACGCCCACTTGGGGGTGGAGCCATGGGCGGATGTGACCTGTGGAAGGAGGTCGGAGAGATAGCCAGGAAAAGCTCTCTTGCTGGCATGACTCGGACAGGAGAGGATCGGGTTGAATTTCCTGGTGTTCATCTGTCTAGGTTGTAAGTTATTTCTCCCTGAATAAACATCTATTTGGCCTATTTGTTTATCCTGATCCTTATTTAACCGCGATATGTGGACATGCCATAGTGTATATATATGTGTGTAGGTCAGAGGGCTACCATGTGGGTTGTTAGGAGAGGTGAGAGGAATCATATCCTCCAGAACTGGAGTTATAGGAAGTTGTGAACCACCCATATGGATGCTGAAAAGTAAACTCAGGTCTTCTGCAAGAGCAGTATGTACTCTAGACCACTGATCACCCTGCCTTGGCTCTCTGGTGGATGAGAATGTAGACTCGTCCTACGGTTCTTTTTATTATTTTAAAAATTATGTGTATGTGTGTGTCTGTGTGTGGGTATGTGCATGTGAGGGCAGGTGCTAGCAGAGACCAGAGTTGTTGCATCTCCCCAGAGCTGGAATTTTAAGTGCTAGGAATCAAACTCAGTATGCACTCTTGACCATCTCTCCAGCCCTTCAAAGCTTCTTTGATAAAATTCTTTTCCTTCTCGGAGACACCCACAGCTAAACACTAAGTTGAACTCTTGGAATCTGGTTACAGACAGGGAGGTGTGATGAACAAAGGGGTCAAGACCAGGCTGGAGAAACCCATAGAAACTGCTGACCTGAACAAGGGGGAGCTCATTGGACTCCAGTCTGATATCTGGGAAACCAGCATAGGACCGACCTAAATTCCCTGAATGTAGTGTTAGTTAGGAGGCCTGGGCAGTCAGTCTATGGGGATCAGTATTTATCCCTAGTATACCAATGGCCTTTGGGAGCCCATTCCACAAAGAGGGATATTCCCCCAGCCTAGACACATTGGAGAGGGGCTGGGCATGCTCCAAATGATATGACAGACTTTGAAGACTCTGCATGGAAGACCTCACCCTCCCTGGGGAGCAGAAAGGGGATGGGATGGGGATTGGTGGGGGGGGGGACAGGGGAGAACAGGAGGGTGCAGGAACTGGGATTGATATGTAAAACAAATTTGTTTCAATTTAAATGAAAAAATTACACACACACACACACACACACACACACACACACACACACACACACACTCACTCAAGCAGAGATGCCTGTGAAGCGTTTAGCACTTTGAAGAAAAACCTTTGCTCTATATGATGTCGAAAGCTCCATCTTGTGAAAACTCCAAATTAATTTGAAAGGAGAAAGGCTAAAGTTAAAGAAATGGTTCAAGAGTTACAGCTCTTTCATGTAGCAAGGGTATCCCTAGAACCCATATAAATAACAAATGGGCAAGGCAGCCCACATGTAATTCTAGCCTCAGAAGGTGGAGACAAGGTGTCCCTGGAGGAAAACATACAACAAAACAGATACTATCCCTAGCTGTATTATAAACTCTGAGTTTGATTGAGACACCTGCCCCAACAAATAAGGTAGAACAGAAAAAAAAAAAAAATTATTTTCCTTCTCAATTAGATTTGACTATTCATGAGGAAGAATCTCATACTTCAGTCTTATGATAAATCTACTGGTATAAGTTTGAAATATAACCTGGCTGAATAAAATAACATACATATAATGTAGCATTCAGTTATTCACTGTTTTGTATATAGTTTTTGTATCTAGCCCAAATCTTCTCTTTAGACTAAAAGGGGAATTGTAGTGAGAGATTCACATTGTCAGCACCTGTGGCATAGACCACGCCCATTGGGGGTGGAGACAGGGCCTGAAGTGACCTGGGGGAACTAAGGCTGAGGAGGGGCTCAGAGAGCTCTCTTGCTTGCAGCACAGGGACAGGATCACTTCTGGAGGCATCCTTGGGACCAGGAACCTGCTGGTGTTCATCTGTTTATGTTGTGAGTTATTTCTCCCTGAATAAACATCTATTTGGCCTATTTGTTCCTCCTGATCCTTATTAAACATCAGTAAGTACTAGGATCAGTATTACCACAATTGTACTATTTTAAGAAGCAGCAAAAGCTTACTCTGTCTGAAGGACTTGGTATAATGGAACTTCCCAACATGCTTTGTGTAAACTAGATGACAGCAGGCAGATAATCTCTGGTGCCCTCAATACCTTCCGTTCTAGACACTTCTTTGATTCACCTTTTCATGCTTTCTTACCATTTCTGCATTTCACAATTTGGGTCACAGCTGTGGTTGATGAATCTGGCCTCATTTCCCATTCGATAACTGTCAATCACCATCCCACTATCCAGGTTTAAACAGTAGTGGTCACTATGATTATGATACTGTTCAATCATCCTGTTCCTGAAGAGAGAAATAACCAAAAGCCAATTACTGATTAAATTGGAAGACAGCTATTCTCCCCACTATGCTGTCAATGCTAACTCTCTAATTAATGATTAACACTGAAGTTCAATCTTTAGCTCACTATCCTCACCTTGCACATTCATCTTTTTATTGATATTTCATTATTTACCTGAATTCTTGTTCGCTGACAACTTCCCCGAGGTATTCTATGATGAACTGGCCAGCTTTCAGGGGTTCTTTGGTTCTAATTCCCCAACCTTTTTCCTCTGCTCGAAACCGTTCCAGACACTGCACCCACTCATGCCTCTGTATCCTCTGGTTACAGCACTGCTCACCGCAGGGGCAAGTGTTAGGTGAGCACTCGGCAAAGATCATTCTACAAAGTAAGAACTGCAGTTAAGCCACACAATACAAATTTTCTGTACACATTTTACATCTTTAAATTTAATTCATGAAACAATTTTAACAAAGTAGCTAAATATCCAAAACAGCAATGATATAATTCAAAAGTTGACTTTTATAATTTTAGAGTTAGGTCACAGACAATGCTTTACTGCTATATGAAACTCACAACCCTCTAGTGTTTTGTTTTGAAGTGATTGGGTGCCTTTAGGGTGGTATGGCTGCAGACACTCTAGTCTTTCTGTTGCTGTTCTCTTCTTTTTTTGGGTTTTTCAAGACAGGGTTTTTCTTCTTTGTATTCCTGGCTGCTCTGAAATTCTGTAGACTAAGCTGGCCTCAAACTCAAAGATCCTGCTTTTGACTCTGAGTGCTGAGATCAAAGTCATGTGCTACCATGCCTGGCTAGGAAAATAGATTGGGAAAAACAAAAACAAAAAAACCCCAACAACCTTGAGAAAGAACTGCTGAGAGTAGGAAAAAAAAAAAAAAAAAAAAAAAAAAAAAAAAACCAGAAAGAAAAGTAGGAAAGGGAAGAATATCATTGTTAACTAACATTTATTATTTGATTGATTGTGTATATTGGGGTGTGTCATAGCACATGCATAAATGTCAAAGGACATCTTATGGGAGTGTGTGTTGCCTTCCACCATGTGGGTCCTGAAGATTGCACTGATGTCTTTAGCTTGCAGCAAGTATGTTTATCACCTAACAATCATGCTGGCCCTGTTACTAATTTCCATCTTTATACTGAAATCTTCTTCTTTTGTAGCAGTTCATGGCCATTTACAGACCATTCCTTTGACTTTATGTGTTTGCTTTGAGCAAAGTCTTACTGTGCAGTCCAGACAGTACCGGCACTTTCTTCATAGCATAGCATTGCATAGCATAGTCTGACATAAAAACTTTGATCTTTTATCCTCTTTAAAAAAATATATATTTATGTATATATTACACTATTACATACACACACACACACACACACACACACCAAAAAAAAAAAAAAAAAAAAAAAAAAAAAAAAAAAAAACCTCTTTTTGTAGTTGCTATGCAGACCAGGCTGGCCTTGAATTCACAGAGCTCCACCTACCTCTGCCTTAGTGCTGGGATTAAAGGTGTGCACCAACATACCCAGACTTTGAGTATATATTTTATTTTATGTTACTTGTGTTTTGTCTGCATGTTTGGATGCACACCATGTGAGGGCTCTGTGCATTTAGAAATCAGAAGAGGGCACTGGATTCTTTGGAACTGGATTTATGGATGCTTGTGAACCACCATATAGGTGCTATGAATTGAACTCTGTTCTCCTGAAAGAGCAACAGTACTCATAAGATAGTGTAGGCTGGCTGGAGGTTTATAGTATGTGGCCCTCAAATTCAGACTAGCCATGAATTTGATATCCTCTTGTCTCTACCTTCCTAGATTGGAATTAGAGATATACAACAACACATACCTTTTCAAAATTCCTGGATGTTTTTATCTTTTAAGATTGTATGTATGTGTTTATACAGTCTATGTCACTGTGTGGACACTAGAGGTTAACATTGGCTATCTTCCTTTATTGCTCTTCAATTTATATTCTGAGACAAGATCTCTTATTGAAACCAGAGAGACATAATGGCTAGATTTGGCTAGTCAATAAGCTCCAGGAATCTGGCTCTCCCACCCCTAAACACTAGGGTTCCAAACACAAGACACTGGCATTTATGTGCATACTGGGATTTGAATGCAAGTTCTCATGTTTGTACAACATATACTTCACTAACTGAGCCATCTTTCAACTACCACATTGATAAGACATTTTTATGTGTGGCTCAGAAACCCACTTAGGAGAAGCTGGGGAGATACTCTGTGGTTAAGAGTACTTAGTGCTCTTCTTAAAAACCTAAGTTTGGATTCCATGATGTCCATCAACTTGCTCAATCACCTGTAACTCCAGCTCTAGGTGACATAAAGCCTTTTCTGGCCTCTTTGGTGCACACATGCACACAAATAATAAAAGTAACTAGAAAAAGTTTTAAAAAGGAAAAACTGAACAGAAAGCCTTCGTCATACACTTTTTTTTCCAGAAAAGGTTTTAAAAACTAATGGTTTTTAAAAAATAGCGTATTCATTCTTATTTGTATTAATTTTTTTTTGAGACATGATTTCCCTATGTGGTCTAGAATTCACAATGAAATCATGTCACAAAAGAAAATGAAACAAAAAAACCTCTACCACTGCATTGTATCACCATTTTTAACTGCATTTACTTATTTATTTGTTATACATGGAGCACATGCGTCAGAATGTGTTTGAAAAGACAGCTTGCAGTATTTGGTCCTCTCCTTCTAACATGTGGTTTCTGGGAAGCCCATTAACCCAGTGAATTAGCTCACCAGCCCACAATATAACTTACTGGATCATAAAAAGAAAGGGGGATTTTCAGAGTATTTTCTTCATATATAATATACAATCATCCCTGATACTCAGCTCTAAGCAGAAATGTGCTAAATGGGATAAAATTTTCTCCTGATTGGAGGAATAAAAATTCTTAAACAGGTAACTGCTGGAGGAAGAAGCTACATTTTTTGTTTAATTACTTGTCACTTTTGATAATACCTTGCCCCTTTTGTTGTAGCATACAGACTAATTTGTAAACATATTTTAGGTAATACCTACTCAAAGACAAGTGAGCTCATAGTTTTATGTCTGTAAACCCCCCTACCTCCCAAGACAGGGTTTCTCTGTATCGCTTTGGAGCCTGTCCTGGGACTTGCTCTGTAAACCAGGTTGGCCTTGAACTCACTGAGATCCACCTGCCTCTGCCTCTGCCTCCCGAGTGTGGGGATTAAAGGCTGATTTTAAACTGAAAAGGAAAAATAAATTTTAAAAATGATATTAAGACCTTAACTTTTGAAATTGAAGAAAAATAAAACACTGATGGGAAGTAATTATAAAAGTCCACTTAAGGCAAGCAGTAGTGGTAGTGGTGGAGGAGGCAGCTGGGACACCCTCAGTCCCAGCACTTGGAGGCAGAGGCAGAAGGATTCCTCTGAGTTCAAGGCCAGCCTGGTCCACAGAGTGAGTTCCAGGACAGCCAGAGCTGTTACACTGAGAAACCCTGTCTTAAAAAACAGAAACAAACAAACAACAAACAAAAAAAACCAACAACAAAAAAGGCCACTTAAGGACAGGTGTGGTTACGAATACCCTTAATCACAGCACTCAGAGGCAGGAGTAGATGAATCTCTGAGTTTTAGCACAGTCTGATCTCCATAATGAGTTCAATGATAGCCAGGGCTTACAAAGTGAGACCTTGTCTCAAAATATCAAACAAAATAAAACAAAAGGAAATCCACCCCAAACCCCAATATAATAACATTTATTTACATACCTATGAGCGCACACACACACACACACACACACACACACACACACACACACACACACACAGAGTCATGGTCGTCCATATCACTTTCAGGAGTTAGTGTTTCTTCATTCACCATATAAGTCTAGAAATGGAATTTAGGTGGACAGGATTTTCAGTAAGTGTCTTTACCCTCTTAGCCATCTCATCAGCCTCATAAGTCCATTATTTACATAAAGAATAGTCTGGCATCACACCTTTTACAGGACCAATTGCAAATGAATACAATTGAGCAATGTGATGACTGACACTGATCTTGTTGGCAGGGTGCAGTGGCACATATCTTCTTAACGTCAACACTCAGGAGGCAGAGGTTGGCAGATACCCAAGTTCTATGTCAGCCTGGGCAACACAGTCTAAAATAACAACAACAAAAAAGGATTAATTTTGTACACATTTTAAGATTGCTGCTATAGCCCAGGCGTGGTGGCAGAGGCAGGCGATTTTCTGAGTTAGAGGCCACCTGGTCTACAAAGTGAGTTCCAGGACAGCCAGGCCTACAGAGAAACCCTGTCTCAAAAAACCACCGACCAAAGATTCCTACTATACACTAAATACTTACACAACTTTAAATAATATGAAAATCTAAGACAAAGTCACATATGTTAGCTCCATTTTTAATGGAGACTTTATAATGGGCCATTTGAAAAATCTAAGTAGGGATTTATTAAGTAATACCTTTGATTTCTTTTCTTACATCTTTATGTATTTATCACATTCTTCATCTTGCCATTTATCATATGGATTTCTTTGCAGTGAACAGCCTCCCATGACATTCATTTGAGAACATTGTATCTTAGGGTTATTTTCTGAATATAAGCCAGCATAATGTGAAAAATAAAATACTTATGCCAACAAAAATGATACAAAGCAACCAATGTATTTAACATGGTGGATGTTCAAATGTCAGTTTCGTGGTTACATTTTAAGGCAACTAGGTCCCATTGTATTTTGTTGCTAGGACAGTGCAGGTCTTGTCAGGGAGGACCACTCCTGGCTTAGGTCCCTCTTTTCCATGTCCTTAGAGGTGAGTGAGGTAACCCAGAAATATAAATACAGTATGTACTCACTCAAAAGTGGATATTAGATTAAATCAAAGGACAACTAGGCTACCATCCACAGACCCAAAGCAGCTAGGCAACAAGGAGAACCCTCAGAAGGATGCATGGATTGCCCTAGGAAGGGGAAATAGATGAGATCTTCTAGGTAAACTGGGGACGGTGGTGCTCGAGGAATGTGTGTGTATGGAAAGGGGTGGATAGTAAAGAGGAGGTGATGGGGGATGAGAACATGAGGGAACAGGATGGTAAACTAGGGGGAGGATCAGAGAGAGAGAGAGAGAGAGCAATGAAAGGGATATCTTGAAAGAAGGAGCTATTATGGGGTTAGGGAGAAACCTGATGCTAGGGAAATTCCCAGGAATCACAAGAATTTTCCTAGCTAAGACTCCTAGAAATATGGGAGAGTGATGGGAGATGTCATTCTGTATATGTTTCTCATACTGGTTAATGAATAAAGCACTGTTGGCCAATAGTAAAGGAACATAGGAGGGACTAGGAGACAAGGAGGAAATAGTAGTAAGGAGAATCAAGATGCAGAGTCTGGAGAAGGTATAACCACCAGCCGCCTCTCCCTGGTAAGACCACGTGGATATACGTAGAAATGGGTTAATAATTAAGGCAGAGCTAGCCGATAAGAAACTAGTAAACCTGGCCAACAGAATTATATCAAATACAGAGTCTCTGTGTGTTATTTGGGGCCGGCGCAGCAGCAGGACAAGACCAAGCGGCAGGCAGAAAAAACCCGTACTCCCTACAGGAGAGGGTGAATTTACTGGCCCTCTGTAATCGGATTGGTGACTACCCTAATTGTCATCATAGAACCGTAATTCAGTAACTGATGGAAGCAGATGCAGAGATTCATAACCAAGCACTGGCTCAACTCCTGGGAGTCCAGCTGAAGAGAGGGAGGAGGGATCACATGAGCAAGAAATCAAGATCATGATGGGAAACCCACAGAGACAGTTGACCCAAGCTCATGGGAGCTCATGGACTCTGGACCAACAACTGGGGAGCCTACATGGGACTAAACTAGGCCCTCTGTATGTGGGACAGTTGAATAGCTTGGTCTGTTTGTGGGGCTCCTGCCAGTGGGAGCAGGATCTATCCCTGGTGTATGAGCTGGCTTTTTGTAGCCCATTCCCTATGGTGAGATGCCTTGATGCAAAGGAGAGGGGCTTGGTCCTGTCTCAATTTGATGTGCCAGACTGTGTTGACTCCCCACAGCAGGCCTTACCCTTTCTTAGTGGATGAGGGATGGGAGAGGCAAGGAGAGAGGACCAGCAGAGGGAGGGGGAACTGTGGATGGTACGTAAAAAAAAAGAAAGAAAACTGCAAAAGCCAATAAACAAACAAACAAATACATAAATAAAACATGAATAGTAGAGAAAAACAAATTAACCAAACCAAATTCTCAAAATTTTAGAACAGGAAGTAAGACAGAAAAACCAAATCCGATTATAAGAAGCTACAATTATGGGGCTGGAAAGATGGCTCAGTGGTTTTGAGCACTGGCTGCACTTGCAGAAAACCTGGCCTCTAGTTCCAGGACATTAACACCCTGTTCTGTCCTACAGTGCACCAGGCATGCATTTGGTATGCATACATACATACATACATACATACATGCAGATAAAATACCTACGCATATAGATAAAACTTAGGTACTTTGCACATATGTCACACTTGTGTTGCTCGATCCTCTTGTGGGACTCCTAACAGTGGGAACAGTGGGTCTCTGATTCTTTTACTGGCTTTTGGAACCTTACCTCTCATCCTGGGTTGCCTTGCCCAGTCTTAATATACGGGGAGGTGATTAATCTAACTGCAACTTGATATGCTATGTTTTAATTATACTCATAGGAGACCTGCCCTTTTCTGGATGGAGTCAGTAAAGGAGGAGATTGGGGGGTGGGAGGGGGAGAGGACTGGGAGTGGAGAATGGAGGGAAGGCTGTAGCAGGGATATAAAATACATAATTAAAAAAAAAAATTACCAAGCCAGGTGGTGGTGGCATACACCTTTAATCACAGCACTTAGGGGGCAGAGACAGGAGTATCTCCATGAGTTCGAGGCCAGCCTAGTCTACAGAGTGAGTCCCAGGACAGGCTCCAAAGCTACTGAGAAATACTATCTCAAAAAACAAAAACATGTTTTATTTTTATTTATCTTATATGTATTTTGCCTTCGTGTACATATGTGAACACTGCATGTCTGGTGTCCAAGAAACCAGAAACGATTAGAACTGGAGTTAATAGATTCTTAACCTCTGAACCATCTCTACAGCCCCAGCAGTGACTTTGGTTTCGTTTGGTTTTCTGAACAGTTTCTCTGTGTAGCACTGGCTGTCCTGGAACTCACTGTGCAGACCAGGCTGATTCCACCTCTTGGTTGCTTGGATTAAAAGCATGCCCCAAGGGGCTGGAGAGATGGCTCAGAGGTTAAGAGCTTTGAATGTTCTTCCTGAGGACCTGGGTTCAATTCCCAGCAACCACATGGTGGCTCACAACCATCTACAATCGGATCTGGTGCCCTATTCTGGCCTCCAGAGGATACATGTAGGCAGAATGTTGTACACAGAATAAATAAATAAATCTTTAAAAAGCAGAATGCTGTATATATAATAAATAACTCTTTGTTAAAAAAAAAAGCATACACCACCACTGCCCGGGTTCATTTATGGCTGTAGAGATTACTTATCTGTTTTCTTTCCTTTTCTTTCTTCCTTCCTTTCTTTCTTTTCTTTTCTTTTCTTTTTTTTTTTTTTTTTTGAGACAGGGTTTCTCTGTGACATTTTAAATAAAATAAATTGAAAATAAATTCAATGTCCAAAAGAAATGAGGCCAATTCTGTGGTCTATCAACTTAATGGATGACAGAAAGTTCCTGAAAGTGATAGCTTGTAGACTATACTGATATATAAAAGTGTAAATTTAAAAGCACTTGCTTGCTGCTCTTGTCAAGGATGAAGTTCAATTCCCAGTACCCACAGGAAGGCTGATAAGCACCTGTAACTCAACTCCAAGGATTGAAATGTTGTCTTCTGATCTTTGTCAGTTCCTGCATGCATGTGGTACTCATAAACTCACACAGCATATACACATAGACAGAAAAATAAGTAAATAATTATCTTTTCTAAAAACCCATGGTTTGCACCTTCGGTATTATCAATACATAAAACTATATTTATATATACAATATATTATGTGCATGTATAGTAACATAAGCCAGGAAAGATTCCCAACTGGCATGTTAAAACCAATGCCTCCAGCTGACAGGGCAGCTGACCCGGAGACTTCGGAAGCAGGTACCTTGGCTAGGGATAACTGGGATAAAAATTATTGGTGGTTCTGGTTTTTCGAGACAGTATCTAGCTATGTAGCCCAGCTGATCCAGAACTTACCTTGTAGAGAAGCATGGATTATAATTTGTGTGGTTCTGTCTTAGCCTCCACAGTGTTGATATTCAGAAGATTAAGTTCTTAATTTTCTGTAAATTTATCTGCATTACTAAAACCAACTAATTCTATCTTTATGCATTTTCCTCTATTAGGCATTGCCATTTTATGCCTAATTGAGGCTGGTGGTAAATTTTTGTAATTTCAGCACGTGTGAAACTAGGTAGGAGGAGCAGAGTTCTGATAAAACTGAAGAAACAATTGCCACTAAAAATGAGAATCTCCAAATGAGTTAACCCCCCAATTTCTACCACTGATTTTTACCATTTCGTTAGCATTAGTGGTCACTGATCATGTGTATACTCATATATGTTAATAGTTTATTAGCATAGTTTTCCTCATTATGGCCCACCATATGTTGAAAAGTAAGAAGGCACTTAAGACTTTGCTTAATATTTTCTTTCTTTTTTTTCCAAGACAGGTTTCTCTATAGTTTTGGAGCCTGTTCTAGAACTAGCTCTGCAGACCAGGCTGGCCTTGAACTCACAGAGATCTGCCTGTCTCTGCCTCCTGAGTGCTGGCATTAAAGGTATGTGCCGCCACCACCTGGCTAAGACTTTGCTTATTGATAGATTATATCATCATCTCATATTATTCGGAGAACTTCCTCCAGAGAAGGTGACATTTGTTTTTTTGTTTGTTTGTTTGTTTGTTGAGACAGGGTTTCTCTGTATTGTTTTGGAGGCTGTCCTGGAACTAGCTCTGTAGACCAGGCTGCCTCTGCTTCCCAAGGGTTGAGATTAAAGGTGTGCGCCACCAATGCCAGGTGAGAAAAGAAATTAACCATGTTTGAGCTGGAGAGATGGCTCAGTGGTTAAGAAATTAATGCCTTGTCTCATAAATAGTAAAAGAACTTAAATTTTGGTATGCAAGACTCTTTCTGACACTATATTCAGTCCATTAGTTTAGAGGAAAAAGGAGTTGTTATACACATTCTCTCTCTCTCTCTCTCTCTCTCTCTCTCTCTCTCTCTCTCTCTCTCTCTCTCTCTCTCTCTCTCAGAACTTAGGCTTTAGAGAAACAGCTACAGTACCTATTGAGGCAGTCATCCCCACAGCCCTTCCTGGTGTCATCATCTGGCTTCTTACAATTACAGGTGGTAGCCTCATAACCAGAAAGTGGTTTGACATCAACGTAGACATCTTGAGAAGACAGCAAATAAAAGTTTTTGAACATATAGAATTATTTATCAAGTGTCAAGACAGGAGGAACACTGATGCTTTGAAGGCAAAAAAAAAAAAAAAAAAACACCAAAAACCAAAACCAAACCAAAACAACCAGCTTCTAAATTACTCACTTGAACGAATTTTTTTATACAGGGGGACATCTGGCTTTTTGTATAGCTAGAAGAAAAAAAAAATTGATATAGCATTTTGCTTCAAATGACAGTGTGGCATCAATCTCTAATACAGGAAGGTATCCATGTGCTGTGGTCATACAGAAATATTTGTGGGAACTTGGCATAGTAGGTCACCTCTATACTCATAACACTTGGGAAGGTGAGGCAGGGGGTCACTGTGAGCACAAGCTATATGGTAACTAATCTCAGAGTGATTTTAACCCCACAGAAAAAAGGGTGACAGAGGATTACAATTAATAAGCATTAAATAGATTATAAAAATTACCATATTTCTTTTTAAGACAGCATCTATGCAGGCTGGGATGGACTGAAATTTTCTATGTAAAACTTTTGGTTCTCCTCCTATATCCTTTTCTGAGTGCTAGGATTATAGGCTTGTATAGCATCTGAGTTACAACAACATACTTTGTTTTTTATTTGTTTGTTTTGAGACAGGGTTTCTCTGTGAAACATTCCTGGCTGTCCTGGAACTCACAGAGATTCATCTGCCTCTGTCTTCTGAGTGCTGGGATTTGAGAAGTTCACCACCAATGCCTGCTGAGAGTTTTTTTTTTTTGGTTTGTTTGTTTTGTTTTTTTAAAGTGTGCTGATGGATAACTATTGAAAAGACTCAAAGTTATTTACTTGAATAACTTAAGATTCTATTTGTTTCTATCAAAAGAAAGGAAAGGGAGTAGGAGTAAAGGTCTGTGGTATAATGCATGTTCAAACTTGCCTTAAAACCACAAAACCCTATGTACTTATATGAAAATGGAAAGATTAGCTGGCCTCTCAGCCGTCACACTCATTGGTTGGGAATCTAAGGAAAGCAATATTAAGATTTTCATTAAGGTGGTTAACCAATAAACAGACTGTGCTATTGGTGTTGATCTGGAATTCTAGCACTATGGAGATGAAAGCAGGACTGGAGGTAGTAGGCCAGGTTCAAGGCCAGCCTGGGTAATCTGAAACATTGAGGAAAGAGCTCTCATGTTTGAACTAAAGTGTGCTGCAAAAGTAACAACAATTTGAACTAAACTCCATCATTTATTAACATGTCAGCCTGGGTAATCTGAAACATTGAGGAAAGAGCTCTCATGTTTGAACTAAAGTGTGCTGCAAAAGTAACAACAATTTGAACTAAACTCCATCATTTATTAACATGTCAGCCTGGGTAATCTGAAACATTGAGGAAAGAGCTCTCATGTTTGAACTAAAGTGTGCTGCAAAAGTAACAACAATTTGAACTAAACTCCATCATTTATTAACATGTCAGGATGTATTTTATAATATTTTTTTCAGTCCATGTGGAAAGCCCCATCTCTATAATTAAAAAGGTGACAAAAAAAACTTTGTCTCAAAAGCAAAATAAAACAAAAGCAACCCCTTCAACCAAACTTAATAAAAACAAACACAAATACCCAACATATTCAAACTCTTAAGAATTCAACAGAGTCCAGATGATGGTGCACACCTTTATCCCCAGCACACCAGAGGCAGAGGCAGGCAGAACACGAAATTGGAGGACAGCCCAGTCTACACAGCGAGTTCCAGGACAGCCAGGGCTATTTAGAAACCCTGTCTACAAATAAAGAAAGAATTCAACAGAGACCACCAGAGAACAGGAGGCAGAGGAGACTGAACTGCTTTTGGTTTTTCAAAGTTTACTCTTGTTTAGAAACCATGTCTTACTATGCAGTTATAGTGTAGTAGCCTAGAACTCACCAAAACCTACTTGCTTTCGACTCCTCACTACTGGGATTAAAGATGTGTGTTACCACACCTGCCAAAGTTAACTGTTGACAACATTTTAGCTAAACTCAGAAAAACATGCTGTAAGTTATTTCATTTATATGACTACTTCTGTCTTCTAGTGGCTGTTCTCAAGATAGGGCCAGGAATTAAGGCCTGATATTTTAAGTGTTCTTGGCAGTACATCTTCATTTTCCTGAGACCTGAATGAAATAGAAATCTTATAGCACAAAATCTTTGCTACAAAAAAAACAAAAGCTCAGAATAAGAACAGAAGGTTGCCCATTGAAACAGAAACTTACTGTATTACAAAGTACGAATAAAGGCAAGTAAGGCACATTAACTATGAACGCAAATTCATTTTTCTTAGTCTCTAACACAAGGACAGGTCTCAGTATATTTTAAGATATGACAAGCTTACACTCCCTGTTCTCCAATCCTTACCACTTAAAAAGAAAACCTAGTAAAAGAGGCCTTTGTACCTGGTTGTGTTTCCACTGCCAGAGGATGTCATAGGGAAGCTGGAAATCAATTCTCTTCTGTCTTAGGTATTTTCCTGAAATAAAAACCAGTCAATTTCAACAACTATTCTGATATGCAGAACACACAAAGACAGCAAATAGTTACATGCAATATATATATGAATACACACACACACAATTTTATGTGTGGGAGGGAGGTGTACAGAGGGTTTCTCTGTACAGCCCTGGTTGTCCAGGAACTCGATCTGTAGAGCAGGGTGGCCTGGAACTCAGATTTATTTGCCTCTGCCTCCCAAGTACTGGGACTAAAGGCATGTGCCACCACTGCCTGGCTATGCAAAATATATTTTAAATGTATAGTCATCTCTAGAAAACAAATAAAGCAAAATTACAACTGAAAGTTGTATGAAAGTAAAACAGTAAGAAGTTCTTTTTGTTCTTGCAGAGGACAGAGATCACAACCATTTGTCACTCAAGTTTCATGGAGCTGATGCCCTCTTCTGACTTCTACAGACACCAGGTACACATGTGATGAACATACATGCAGGTAAAACAGTCATACCCATTAACAACATCAACAACAAAATCTCAGGGAAGGGCGGAAATCCAGACTGGCTCCTAGACGGTTTACCTGCTATCAAGACTAGACTGACTACCTGAATCCAATCCCTGGAACTCACATGCTACAAAGAGAGAACGGACTCCTACAAACTGTCCTTTGGCTTCTAGGCAGTGTAAGGAGTACGGTTTTTCCGCCTGCCGCTGGTCTTGTCCTGCCGTTGCGCCAGCCCCAAATAACACACAGAGACTATGTATTTGATATAACGCTGTTGGCCAGTTACTTGTTTCTTAACTCTGTCTTAAGTATTAACCCATTTCTATGTATTTCCACGTTGTCTTACCGGAGAGTGGGGGCTGGCAATTTTGCTTTCTCCAGACTCTCCATCTTGATCCTTCCTTACTACTTCCCCTTTCCTCCTTGCCTCCTAGTCCCTCCTATCTTTCTTTCCTATTGGCCAACAGTGCTTAATTCATTAACCAGTATGAGAAACATATATACATAATGGCATCTCCCATTATCTCCTCTTTTCTGTCTAAATAAAAAGGTTTTTAACCTTAACATAGCAAAATATATCACATAACAGTTATCAAATAAGAATCACAGTTAACAATATTTAGTCCATTAACATTTAGCAAGATTTGAAGAAAATATTCCATCATTTATCCTGTGAGTCTAAATTCCTATATGTAACTTATCTTTAATCCTAAGGAAAACTATAACTGTCTGTCTTCAATTCTTTTAAAGACCCAGAAGGTTAATATATAAATTTTAGAAATGACAGAGACAACTCATTGCCTGGTAAGTCATCGAAAGTTTTGTAATCTTCCATCTTTAGCCCATAGGCCATAGTATGTCTAGCAGACTCTTTAGTAAAATAGGAAAGTTTAAACTGTCTTTTTGTATTGGCAGTTTGTCAGTAATTTTTTTCTGTGTCCTGTAGACTGTCTGGCAGACTCTTCCATGAAGCAGGAACGCTGTAGCAATGTCCATCTTGAATCAGCAGTCACTTTTCTGTGGGTGCTGCATGTTCAGTTTATACAGCATAAAGTCAAACAGTCCAGACCAGAGCAGTATCTTGTCCAAATGGCTAGTCTTGCCATATTGGAAGTAAACTGCACAACGAGTCCATCTTCCTTTCTGACCCAGGTGGTGTTGCCAGGAGCATTTATGTCTCACTGTCAAGAAAAACCCTAAACCATTTTAAATGCCATATTCTGTAGGTCTTTGAAAGGTTTGAAGAATGCCTATTTATCTCAAATACATCTCTGTATATCTAGAAAACCTAACTCATTTAGCTGTAAGTTTTGACTATTATAGGTAACTATCTAAAATCTGTACTAAATTATACATTACATTTTAAGTGAGTTATATAAACACAATACCTAAACAAAAGGAGAATATACACATCACAAAATTGACCTTAAATTTGTATCAATAAATGAAATGTTGGTCAATAGGAAAGGAAGATAGGAGGGACTAGGAGACAAGGAGGAAAGAAGGGGTAGTAAGCAGGAGTCAGCATGGAGAGACTGGGAAGACCAGACGCTGGCCCCACTGCCCAGTAAGGAGACCACGTGGAAATACATAGATTAGCAGAAATGGGTTAATACTTAATACAGAGCTAGCCAATAAGAAACTAGTACCTGGACAACAGAATTATATCTAATACAGAGTCTCAGTGTGTTAATTGGGGCTGGCGCGGCAGCGGGACAAGACCAGTAGCGGGCAGAAAAACCTTACTCCTTACAAGGGAGCACACAAAATTAAACAACACAATAGAAAGATAATGAAAGGGGACATCCTTGAATTTACATAACTGAAGAACACATGTTATCTGGTGTGATGGTTTCCAGAATCCATGGAGGAAGAAGAACCAGCTCCTCAAAGACTGCCTCTGATTTTAAAATTTTGTTTTGTTTTTAGAGACAGGATCTTTCTTCATAGCCCTGGCTGTTCTGAAATTCAGAGATCCACTGCCTCTACCTCCTTAGGATTAAGGCCACCATGTCTGGTTCCTCTGACTTTTAGATGCTCACTGGGGCATGTGCACCGGACTCAGGAACACACTTCACATATACAAACACACCACACAGACATACAAAACAGTTTAAAAGGGGAGGGGGAAGGGGAGGAAGAGAACACACAGGCAGCTGGGGAGATGGCGCAGTCAGTGGTTAAGACTGCCCTCCCTAGATGACCTGAATTTGGTTCTGAGTACCCAGGGTGGGTGGGTCACAATTGCCTGTGACTCCAGGTTCACAAGATCTGACAGCTTTTCCTGGCTGCTGAACATGAAATATATTCACACAGACACAAACACGTATATGATAACAAAAAAAAAAAAAAAAAAAATAGCAAGTCTTTATGGGTGGTGGCAGCACATGACTTTAATCCCCGAATTTGGGAAGCAGAGGCAGACAGATCTTTGAGTTTGAGGCCAGCCTGGTCTACAAAATGAATTCCAGGACAGCCAGGGCCATACAAAGGGAGGGGGGAGGGAGGGAAGTACATGAGAATTGAAGATCCTATTAACTTTTTATTCACATATGGAACTACTAATCCCCCCCTTTTAAATATATTAATTTCTTTATCAATTCTTTGGGATTTCACATCAGGCACCCCAATCCCATTTATTTACCAGTTCTACCCTTGTAGACTGCCAAACAACCCCCCCATCCAAACAAAACAAAAACACCCGTTCACTCCTCCATATTTTCTGCCTCTCCATCACATATTCACTTGTAGTGGCCTTGAGAGCTGTGGTGTGTCATGAAAGATACCCTTCTGCTCAAACAGCTTTACTTGTAAATGTTCCTTGCAATGCGTTGTTGGTGTGGTTCTGGTACACCACCAATACTGGAACCTCACCAGAACTAGGACACCCTATTGCTGCCAGGAGTCATGGAGAGCCTGTGATTACGGTCCTGCAGCACTGGTCACTTCACAGCTCCAGTATGTCACAGTTGGGGTTGGTCAGCTCAAAACCCTAGTGGTGGCTGGGTTAGTTAATCTGGGACTATACTGGTACTGCCTCTCTCAGGAAGGGTCAAGGCCAGATCTCTGCTGCCGAGGCCACAAGGGCCAGCTCTCCTATGGCCCCTATGATAACAAAGAGGCCAGCACAGAACCAGGCTGCAAGCAGGGTCATGGACCCAGACATGATCCTCAGCTGCAGTTCATGCTGGATGTGATGCACCATGGCCTCATGAGGTTAGTATAGTCCTGGTAGCAGGCCCAGATACCATATAGCTCCAGGTGGCATCCTATTCCTCATAGCAGTCACATCTTCAGATCCATTTCTCTCCACAGCACACACCATTCTGCTTCCCTTCTCTCCCATTTCTCCACCAAATGTGTGTTCATTGGAGTGGAACCTGTTGGCTTTTTTTGGGTTTTTGTGGTGGCTGTCCTGAAGCTCACCAGGCTGGTCTTGAACTCAGAGATCTACCTGGCCCTGCCTCTCAAGTGCTGGGATTAAAGGAGTGGGCCACCACTACCACCACCCATTTGGAAAGACCACTTTCAAAGTTCCTCTTTACCTTAAGGTGTCTTTTCCAACTTCTTTACTCTATATGATCTACTGTCCTTTCAACCTCCTTGACCAAGACTTAACTTTTTTTGTTTGATGATCTATATTTTCCTGTTTTGTATTAGGCTATTTGTGCTTTTATTTGTTCCTAGACCAGCAGTTCTGACTTGAATAGTGCTCTGTTGACTCCAGTGGATGTGAAAGGTCAAAACTACTTCAATAATATTATGGAGTTGTTACACACTTTTTCATTACACTGATACTGACACCAATTATGTAAAAGCAATATTGAGTAAAACTGATTACACTATATCCCATAATGATCTCTGGCTCCTCCCTCCTTTGCCCCTTAAGTGCTGGGATTTCATGTAGATGCAGCCAAGGTCCAGCTACTGGTTATTTTCATCACCTTGCTTTTTTCTTTCATTCAAGATAAAGTCTCTCTTTAGCTCAAGTTGGAAGGCAACTAGCTATGTAGCTGAAGATGAATTTGAACCTCTGACCTTCCTGAATGGACCACATAACTGGATTTTAGCAGCTCAATTGCTAATACTTAACATTTTTTTTAAATTAAAAAGATTATTTTATTTGCCTCTGTATATGTATTGTTTTTGAGACAGGGTCTCTTAATGTAGCCTGGCTGTTCTGGAACTTGATATGTAGACAAAGCTATCCTCAAACTCAAGAGATCTGCCTGTTTCTGTCTCTCAAGTATTGGTATTAAAGGCATGTGCTCCCATGTCTGACTATATGCTTTTGTGAGTCTGAGTGTGTGTCATGTGTGTACCAATACCTGAAGAGCCAAAAGAGGGTGTCGAATCTCCTGGAGCTGGCATTACAGAGAGCTGTGACCCATCTGACACAGGTGCAGGGAACTGAACTCCTATCCTCAGGAAGCATTCTTAAACTCTGAGCCATCTCTCCAGCCACTAACTACTTATACTTAAAACTTTTATTTTCATTAAGAGCCTCCCACTACACCTACCTAGTGTGTGATGTTTGTGAACACACCCCATAGTGCATGTGTGGAGGTCAGAGTTCTACTCACAGAATCAGTTCTCTACTTTAACCATGTAGGTAGGTCCTGCATATTGAACTAAAGTCATCCATCAGATTTGGGCGCAAGTGCTTTTAGTAGCTAAGCCATCTCCCTAGATTCTGCTCCCCCCGAACACCCAGACAGGGTTTCTCTGTGTAGCCCTGGCTGTCCTGGAACAAGTCATATAGACCAGGCTGGTCTCGAACTCAGAGAGATCCTCCTGCTTCTGCCTCTGGAGTTCTGAGATTAAAGGCTGCGCCACCACTGCTTGGCTCCTGCTGACTTTCAATACTGAGAGTAACTACAAAATTTTTAAGTCTAGAGTGGTCCTAAGAAGAGGGACCCTGTTTGTTTGAACAGGGTCTCACTATGTAGTCCTAGAACTTACCATGTAGACCAAGTTGGCCTTGAACTCACAGAAATTTGCCCACCTCTGCTTCATGAGTGTGAAATTAAAGGCATGAACCACCATGCCTGGATTTACTCTTTTGTCTGTTTTTTGAGATAGAGACAACTAACTTTTTATGAGAACATTCAATTCTATTATTTGCCAGTAATACATGTTTTCTCTAGAAAACGTAGAGAGACAGACAGAAAGGTTCTGAAGTTCTTTAAAAAATGATTTTCTTTACAGGTAAGGAATCATTTACATCTACTCAAACTGATCTGAAAAGCAGAATTCTGCTCAGTCCCAACCTCACATTTTCATAGGATCAAGTCTCTAGAGCTGATGCAAGGCTTCCTTAGAAGTACTTACATTGCTCTCAGTCTAATGTATGCAATGATGACAACTGGAGAGAAAAGATGTGTCCATGTGACTGTTAGGAGTATAAAATTACCTACATGGAAGATGTTCCATTACAACATGAGTAAGAATTGAGCTGTTAAATATTAGGAGATGAAGTGGATGATGTTTACCTCATTCAAGCTTATGGATTGCATTCTTGGTCTTGAACTACTCAACATGTGTTCAACTTTTTCTCAGCAAAATCTACAATAGTCAGAATGGAATACAATTTCTCCCAGATAGAGATGAAACGCAAAGTAGTGATGGCTCAATCAAAATGGGAGTCAGCAGAATATACTGAAAGCCTTAGAGGTATGTGAAAGTATATTAAATTAGCAGTGGTTGTGGCACATGCCTTTATCTCAGCTCTTGGGAGGCAGAGGCAGGCAGATTCCTATAGATTTCTAGGCCAGCCATGACTACATAATGAGACCCTATCTCAAAACAAAGAATAAGACAAAAAACAAAACAAAACAATGGTCACAAGCTATCTTTGGGGGATACCTCAGCAGTTAAGAGCATGTCGTTCTCTTAGAGGGCCCAGGTTTGGTTCCAAGCACCAATTTTAGAAGCTACACAACCTTCTGTAACTCTATTTCTAGAAGATCTGATGCTCTTTGGCTTCCACTGACACCTTATACAAGTGGCACATATAAACCCACATAGGCAGGCAGGCAGGCACGCACACACACCCCCCCAAACAAACAAACAAACAAACAAATATGTGGTTGCCTCTTGAAGAGTCTAAAGGTCAAATCTTCACTGTGGAAAATGAGAATATGGTTCCTTTGAAAGGACTAGGTTGCAACAAAGAAATAGGGCTGGGGGCTGAAGAGATGGCTCAGAGGTTAAGAGCATTGACTGCTATTCCAGAAGTCTTGAGTTCAATTCCCAGCAACCACATGGTGGCTCACAATCATCTGTAATGAGATCTGCTCCCCTCTTTTAGCCTGCAAGGACACATGCAGATAGAATACTATATACATAATAAATAAATAAATAAATCTTAAAAAAAAAAAAAGGGCTGAATAGATACTATTTTACTTTCATATAGTTCCTCATGTTGTAGTGACCCCCCCAACCATAAAATTATGTCATTGTTACTTCATAACTGAAATTTTGGTACTGTTGTGAATTGTAACATAAACATCTGATAAGCAGGATATCCAGAGACCCATAGATTGAGAATTGCTGCTCTAGAGGGAAAAGGAAAGCCAGGGAAATAGACAAGCAATCACTTTTGAAACACAAGTAAAACAAACAAACAAACAAACAAACAAACAAAACCCTAACACAAGTGGTGCAGCTGCTATGGTAACCTTTGCCATGTGGTTTTAGATATTATAACTGCTTTCTGAGCCAGGCAGTAGTGGTGCACTTCTTTAATCCCAGCACTCAAGAAGCAGAGGCAGAGGCAGGCACATCTCTGTTGTGTTTGAGGCCAGCTGGTCTACAAAGCTAGTTCCAGGACAGCCAGAGACCCTGTCTCAAAAAAAAAAAAAAAAAAAAAAAAAAAAAAAACCCAAACAAAAACCCCAGACCCAGACCTACACGCGCACACGCACGCACGCACGCACGCACACACGCAACAAAACCCCAAAACACAGAAAAACCCAAAACTGTTTTCGGGCTGGACTGTAGAAGAGCTTGGCATGATGGAAGCAGATCTTCCTTAGTCATATAGGAGCTTTAGAGATAAGAGAAATGTGAATATCAGAGGCCATGGTCATAAGGTTTCAGAGTGGAACAAGGGATCCAAAAGAAACTGGGATAAAGACCATTCATGTGATGTTTGGGTCAAGAATTTGTCTTAATTCTGTCTGATTTAGGCATCTTAGAAAGTTGAATTTTAAATAAAAAACAAATTTGCTTATTAGAGGCTGAATGGGTAAAAGAGTGCTGTGAAAACCTGATGATCAGAGTTTGATCCCTTGAACTAATATAAACTAATATAAACATGCATGCTCCTGTTACCCCATCCCCACACCCCACATAGCTCACAATCAACTGTAACTCCAGTACTAGAGAAATTGGATTTCTTCGTCTGGTCTCTATATGCAACAGACATGCACTTGGTGCAAAGATAGAAGTATAGACAAAACACCCAGATAGATTAAATAACAACAATAACTATTAACAACAACAAAAGCAGGTGCCTAAGGCACATAAAAGCTGACAGAGATTGGCCAAAGGGGCCAGGTAAATGCCTGTGTAACTGAGGATGTCCTTAAGCCTCTGATCTTCCTGCCTTCACCTTGAAAGCCAAAATTACATGCATATTCTTTGCCTAGTTCATGTGGTACTTACTGGGGATCCAATTCACCTTTATTTTTGTTAGGCATACACTCTACTGAGCTACAGCCCCACATCCTTGCTGAGAATTCTTGGAATTTTTTTGTAAATAAATGGTAAAGAATGTGAACCCATGAGAATAATGAACACAGGAGCTTCCCTTATATTCAACATATATAATTTATTCTTGTCAATAAATTATGTGGATTCAGTACTCACCAACATGAATTGGTGCTGGGAATAATCCATATTCATGCTCTCCTGGAGTATATTCCAACTTCTCTTTCTTTAATTGGATTAATCGGCTCTTTGGGCTGTGATGCAAAAAAGAATAAGAAACAAAGGCAATTAAATTTCTTCCTGGGAATTGTACTTCTCTGAACACTGTTCTTTGTTCTCAACATGCATGTGTGACAGCCCCTTTACAATAAATAAAAAAGAAAAAAAAGTAATCTAAAAATGCACTTTTAAAACCCCTGGGGCTAGAGATGGCTCAGCAGTTAACAGCAGTCCCTAATGTTTAAGGACCTGAGTTTGATTCCTGCCACCTATGTCTGCAACTGGTAAGGATCTGGTAACCTCTTCTATCCTCTGCAGTTACTCTCATGAACCTTTGAGCACCTTTAAATTTACCGACTGAGCTATCTGGGCTCTCTGAGAACCTGTAAATTTACATAAATAAAAATAAATAAATCTTAAAATTCTGGAAATTCCCTTTAAAAAGAGGTTCTTTGATATTCTTTAATAATTTTACAATAAGAACTTTAACTTTCAATCTAATATTCTTTTATTCATTTAACAACAGCCCTGCCTGTGCAGGCAATATGTCTGCAGCCCTGAGCACCCTGGAGCAATCCCTGGAGCTTATGGTAAGAGGAGGGAATTCACACGAAAAACACAGCGTCACTTGTACTCATGCAGACACATCATAGGAAAACTTAACAAAACAAAAAGAATAATTAATTTTATGTATGTTTTGTTTGCATGAATAAGGGTGTCACACAAATGCCTCGTGCTTGCAGAGGCCAGAAGAGGGCAATGGATTCCTTGAAACTGGAGTTATAGATGGCTAAAGCTGGGGTGCAGGGAATTGAACTGAGGTCCTCTGGAAGATCAGCAAGTGTTCTTAACCACTGGGCCATCTCTCCAGTCACTCAAGATAATTTTAAAAGAATTTATGATTTATTATCAGTATATGTTGGGTTTATATAAGGTTTGGTCCAAAGTGGACCTCCAAAGTGGCAGTGCTGGTAACAATATTGTTAACAGAAGCTCCAACTTCCCCACCCCTCAGGATTCTCAAAAGGCAGGTCTCTGTTTACCAGGAAGAGCACTACTTCCCCTATCTCACCAGACCCACAATGGTCAACTATGTTAGGCAAGGGCATCTAGCTCTAGCTAATCCAAATAGCCTGCACCTTGCTGAATATCACAGAAAATCTGAGTACTTTCCCATCAAGTTGCTGTTTTCTGCCCCAAGATAGCCTTAGCATTTTGATCCCCAAAAAACTATCTATACCCACAGAGTAGTCCAGTTTGGTGGTTTCACCGTGCCCTCTCTGACATATGTCTGTTTTATATGTATACATACCTAGGGCCATATAAATTTTTCTTGGGTAAATAAAATAAGGCCATGAGTACAAAGACCAGGACTGGGTAGGATGCTATACACAGTATCCCAAGCTCTGGGACTCTTAAAGCTAACTTTCTTATAGTTTTACACTTTTTTGCTATGTTCAGAGCCTCATGACCATTTTTATTTTTTGAGACAGGCTCTTACTGTGCATGCAGCTCTAGCTGGCCTGAAATTTTCTATGTAGGCTAGACTCTACCTATATGCCTCTCAAGTAATAGGAGTAAAGAAACTTAAAATAAACCCTGAACCACTTGGCTGGCTAAATATTGTTTCAGGTTTTTTGGTTTGTTTTCTTTTTGAAAAAAAAAAAAAAAAAAGATTGAATTCAGGCCAGATGTGACAGCTCATGCCTTTAATCCTAACACTTTAACATAAGGCTAGTTTTTTAACTTTATACCATGAATACCTCCTTGGTGTTTAAAAATCCCCTACACACATACACAAAAGGCAGGGTCTCCATTTAGTCCAGGTTGATCTAAAATTCTCTATGTAGTGAGGGTGGCTTTCAGCATCTCCTCCTCCCTCCTCAGCCTCCTGAAATTCTGGGTTACTGACAAGTCCAACCATGTCCACTGGAAATCGCCCCTGGAATTTTCAGCATAAACCATCTACCAAATGAGCTACATATCTAGCCCAAAGCTTTCTAATTACAATATATACCCATGATCTCAGGATGGCATTGGAAGGCTAGTCTGTTCCACACAGTTTCAGACTGTGTTTCAACAAAGTAACAAAGGAGTACATATCAGGCTGTAATAAGAAACTATAAAATTCTTAAACTATGAAGGACAGTTTATTCATTTGACAATTTAATCAATGAAATTCCAAATACATTTACTTACCTAGAAGACAGTGCTATTTAACTTTCTTTTGCACTTTATTTATTTATTTATTTATCTGTCCATATATTCATCATTTATTTACTTATTTTTGAGAGATGTCTCATGATGTAGCCCTGGCAGGCTTGAAATTAACTAGGTAAAGAATGATGTCCTTGAACAAATGGCAACCTTCCTGCCTCTGCTTCCAGAGTGCTAGGATTTCATCATCACACTTGGCTTTCTTTCTGATTTGTAAACAACAAAAGGTATAATTCAAATCTAACCTATAGAATGGAACTCAGAAGAGAGAGGCTAAACATTGTAAGTCTATAACATAGTGCAACATCAACAGTCCAGTGAACACTTAGGCACTTGAGACTGTTAAACATACAATACATATTATACATAATGTTATACATACAATACATAATAAACATACATAATGTTATACATATAATACATATTGCACATATATAATGTTATACTGGTTTTTGATAGTGAAAATTATTTTGTTCAGACTCAGTGGTTAAATTTGCTTGCAACCTAGCCTGTGAGGACTGACATGGTGCTAAGAGAAAAGAGAAAATTTAAAACTATGGTGGCTAATAGGTATACATTTTCAGTCACCATTACTTACTCCGTAGTTTTGTAAACATCAGAATATAACCCAGCTCTCTGGTACTTCTTCTTTGGAGGACGTGGGGCTTTCTTTTCCCGTGGGATGAGAGCCAGCACAGGTTGCAAGGTAGTTTTAGGTTCAGAAGGTTCAGCGGGGGTTTCAAGAGGACTGGGGATATCAACTGGTGCTTCTACAAAGCTAGGAAAAAAAATAGTTTGAAGATGTTGTGAAAAATAATTACACACACATATTTGATGGGGGATGTCCTTCTGCATATGTTTCTCTTACTGGTTGATGAATATAACACTGATTGGCCAGTAGCCAGGAAGAAAGTATAGGCGGTGTTACAAGACAAGGGGAATTCTGGGGAGAGGAGGCAGAGAGAGGTCTCGAGATATATTCCATGTAGCTATGGGGAAGATAGGACACTCCAGGTGTTCTCTGGTTAAGATAAAGCCATGTAGGAATACATAGATTAATAGGTATGGGTTAATAATTAAGAGAGAGCGCTAGTCAGTAAGAAGTCTGAGCCATCAATTATATTATAATTAATATAAGTCTCAGTATATGTATTTGAGGCTGAAGGGCAGCAGGACCAGGCTGGACAGAAAATCTATCTACATGTATTTATTGTTTTTGAGGTAGTGTCTTGGCCTTGAACTTGCTGTATAGCCAATAATGGCCTCAAATTCCTGATTTTTGTGCCTCCTATTTGAAAGGGGTAAAATAAACTCAAAGGCTTCACTTCTAATAACTCACACTGGGGAGAAATTTTATAAATGTGACAAAGCCTTAAGTTCCAATTCAAATCTTATTATTCATACTAGAGAGAAATAAAGGGACCAGACCGTCACTCAGCCATGACAGGGTACAGAAAAAGACATATAGGCCTCTGACTCAGCATAGGACACAAAGGAACTCCAGATCTCCTAGCCTCCCAGTGCCTAGGGCCAAACTGAACACAAAAAAACTCTAGACAACCCCTAATCCCTCTCCCAGCCTCCTAGACATTTGGTTCCTGGGAACTGTTTGGCAACAAAAGAAACTCCAGGGGAGACCAAAAACTCCCCTGTAGTCTCCAGGATACACTTCTGAAAACTACTGCTATCTATGAACAACAGGCCACCTACAAGTAACAAGACAAAGCCATAGAAACCACAGTGTTCCCTCTCAGTACTGACCAATAAGAATAATTGGTACACAGGTATTTCATGCCAAAATATGACCTTAAGAAATCCCCCCAACAGTTCCCAAATTTCAACCAATTAGAAACCAATCCATACCAACTGATGTAATCCTGTGATTTTTTTTTTTTTCCTTTAAATTCTGGCAATAGACAAGGGACTTCGCTTCCTCCAGTGGCTTCTGTGTCAGCCAGCTAGACGAAGTCACTGTCATGGTTGGATGAAATAATAGAACATTGCTTTTCAGTTAGGTGGGTCTGTCTCCCTGGTGGTCTTTGGGGATCCTCACGACTTGGACACAACACTATTCCCATGCACTGACCTTTCAGCTATGTTCCAGGTGTGTTGACTCTCACCTCTAAAGCCAGAAGAAATCACCATTCTATGAACCGGAGGTCAGCCTGGTCTACACTACAGAGCTAAACTAGCCAGAGCTATAGAGTAAGACCTTGTCTTAAAAAAGAAAAAAAGAAGCTGGGTGGTGATGGCTCACACCTTTAATCCCAGCACTTGGGAGGCACATCTCTGTAAGTTAGAGGCCAGCCTGGTCTACGAGAGCTAGTTCCAAGACAGGCTCCAAAACCACAGAGAAATCCTGTCTTGAAAAAAAAAAAAAAGAAAGAAAGAAAGAAAAAAGGCAGAAGGCTGTATAGATTGTTCACTGTTTTAGAGCACTGGCTGCTATTCCAGAGGACCTGGGTTCAAGTTTCAGGACCCACATGTCAGCTCATAACTGTCTGTAACTCCAGCTCCAGGGGATCTGACACTTTTACACAGATACACAAGCAGGCAAACCACCAGGGAACATTAAATAAATAAATAAATTCATTAAAAAAAATAGGAATTGATAGAGAAGGATAAGTAATTCAAAGTCATTCTTGGCTGGCTGAACAGCAAATTCAAGGCCACCTTGTCTCAGAAAAATAAAATCAGCAGTCAGGCATGATGGCTCACACCTATAATCCAACTTTCTAAAGATTAATACAGGAAGACTTGTGTGAAGCTAGCCTAGCACAGATAGTATGACTGTGTCTAACCAATAACAACAACAACAATAGTAAACTTGGTGGTGGTACATGTCTATAAATAAAATTACTACCTAGGTTGAGGCAGAGTGAAGTTAAGTTCAAAGCCTGTTTCAACATTCAAATAGCTATGGCTAAAAACGCTTCAAATTTGATAAAATATAAACTTGAAGTTAAAAGAATCTAAGACACCATGAGGAAGATCAACTCAAAATAAAGCAAATCATAATAAATGTACTGAAAGTCATCAATGAAGAAAACAAAAGTTAGAGGAAGCAGAGGTATAAGAATTTCAAGGTTATCCAGAATACACAGCAAGTTAAAGACCAGCCTGGGCTACATAGGACCCTGTCTCAACCCAACCAACCAACTGACCGACCGACTGACCAATCAACCAACTGACCAACCAAGCCAAAACTGTAACCCACCAAACTCTGCCTCAGCAAAGGCAGAATCAGAAGGAATCCTGTAAATTCAAAGCATTTTGAGTTCAAAGCATCATAGGCTACATGAGAAACTTTCTTAAACAAAATGATGCTATCATGAGCGACATTTAAGTAATCTAGGGCTAGGGAGATGACTCAGATATAATACGTGCTTGCTATGTATGCATGAGAAACTGTGTTCAACTCCAAGAATTTATGTAAAAACCTGAGTATGGCAATACATGCTTGTACTTACAACACTAGAGAGGCAGAAAACAGGTAAATTCCTGGGGTTTACTGGCCAGCCATCCTCATTGAAGTGGCAAGCCCTGGTTACTACTGAGAAAATTTGTCTCAACAAACAAGGTGATGGTTCCCAATGAATGAAACCTGATCTCTGGCTTCCATATTCATGTGCATACATGAGCACCCCAACACATGAAAACAAGTCATTGCCACTCCTACCATAAAAGAAATCTAAATAAGGTGAGGTGACAGTATCATAGCAAATACCTATAAACCCAGTACTCTAGATGCAGGAGGATCTTTATGAGTTCAAGACTAGACAGGGCTACAGAGTAAGACAGGAAGAAAAATAAGGTGAGGGGTACCAATAGTGGCCATGCTATCTGTACCCTCAGAATCTAAGACTTGAGGTACAACGTTTGCTGTAAGTTTAAGCCTAACCTGAATCAGAGTTTAAGACCTGTCTGAAAAACAAACAACAAGCAAAAATCAAACAAAACAAAACAAAACCCATCACAACAAAAAATAAAGGCAGTTTTAGAGTTTTAGTACCAACAAAGATGGGATAGGATTCTATCTATTCACATTAGCATCATTAAAATCTGGAGAAGTTATAAATAAAAAAGGAGCAAAACATAGCTACTACAATGGCACCTACGAAACCACCCATACAGAAGTTTCCTAGTGATCTATTTGCTTCTCACAAAAAACTTGAAGACTTAGAAAATTTCATTAATGTAAGACCCAAGATAAATGACTGTCTCATAAATATTTAAATTACTGTAATGGTCCCTAGCCCTTACAAAAAGTAAAAAATAAAAAAGGACTGACTCAAGAATGAGGGCTAAAGAGGTAGTTCACAACTACATGCAACTCCAGCTCCAGGAGATCCAACACACTCTTCTGTCCTACATAGGCAAGAACATACGCGGCATACATTTGTTCAAACAAATACATAATAAAAGTAAGTGTGGCTAGAAAGATTGCTCAGTTGGTAAAGTTCGTTCCATGTATTCATGAGTTCCTAAGTTTAATTCTCAGCACCTATTGTAACACAACAACAACAAAAACCTATTCACTAAGTTGGGAAGTGGTGGCACAGGCCTTTGATCCCAGCACTTGGATGGCAGAGGAAGATGGATCTCACTGAGCTTAAGGCACAGAGAAACCCTGTCTGGAAAAAACAAACCAAACCAAACCAAACCAATCCAATCCAATCCAAACCACAACAATAAAAAAAAACTGTTTACTTACGGCACCGAGGAGAGGAGCGGAATCTTGGGGTTTGCCAGTCAAAGCTTCTAGCTGAATCGGCAAACTCAAGGTTCAGTAAGAGATTCTTGTAACTAAGATACCTGACACTGATCACTTTCTGCACATGGGTGCTTAATAATGTACCCCTACAAATGGACCTACATACAAACACGTACAAAACAAAGTCAGAATAAAAAACATTGATCCAGACAATATGTTTCTGTGTAAAGGAAAGAAATGTAGTTAAAGGAACAGAAGAGTATAGAAACAGACCGGAACATAGAACCGATTCTTTTTTAACCTTTTTTTTTGGGGGGGGAGGAGGGGCAGGGTTTCTCTGTATTGCTTTGGAGCCTATCCTTGAACTTGCTCTGTAGACCAGGATGGCCTCAAACTCACAAAGATCTACCTGCCTCTGCCTCCCCAGTGCTGGGATTAAACATATGCGCCACCAACACCCGGTTCTTTTTTAATTTTTAAAATGACACATCTTGGGCCTGAGCAATGACTAAATGGTTAAGAACGATTGGTGTTCTAGGAGGGAACCAGAGTTTGGCTCTCAGAACCTATGTCAATTGCTGCCTCTAATTCTAGCTCTAGGAGAACCAATACCCTCTTTCTGGCCTCTGCAGACACTCATAGATGCATACACACATGCACCCATGCTCGCACCCCCAAAACTTTAAATGTAAATGGCCTCAACTCACTACTAAAAAGGCAAGACTAATGGGCCAGTTAAATGGCTTAAGAACCGAGAACCAGGAGTTGGTGGCGCATGTGTTTAATCCCAGCACTCAGGAGGCAGAGGCAGGTGCAGCCTGGTCTACAGAGTGAATGCCAGGACAGGCTCCAAAGCAACACCAAGAAACCCTGCCTTGAAATACAAAATCCAAAATCCAAAAATATCAAACAAGAAAAAAGAACCAACAACCATTAAAACTTGTTTCCAAGAGATACAGTTAGCCAGTAAATGCATGAAAAAGGTTAATATCAAAGGATGAAAAACTGCCAAGCAAACAGAAAACATTAAATGGGGTAGCTCTTCATTTTTCAGACAAAGTATA